ACAATGAATCGATTACCATGAGATATTTTATCTGGATAATCTGCTGATATGATTCAGATTAAGAAAAAAAAACCTTCAATACAATGAGATCCCCGAAAATGATATTTATCTTTCCATTATCATCATCATGAAGTTACATATAAAAGTAAATGAGTAACTATGTGACTTGGAACTTTTTCTCCTCTCTCTCTCTCTCTCCTTCTTTATCCTCTAAGTTCATAATAATCTAATATAATATAAGGAATAATCTTACATGATAAACTCATATACTCACTGAATGAATATCACCATTATCTTCATGATGATAATCATGTTTTCCTTTTGGTTTTTGTCAAGGTGAGATGATTACAGATTTGATATATTAGCTTTCATCTTCCCTGAGTTAAGTCAGAATTACGAGATGGAAACATTATCAGAATCACAACTTTTGTCTCAATCATTGACCAAAGGTGATTCAATCCAAATCTAATTTCATCTTCCACCCTCACCTTACCTTATATTTGGTTCGTGTCCACCAGAAAATAACAGAAATTTATCACTTTTCACCAAGTAAAATATACATAAATCATCATGATGATGGGTTTTCATGGTTACTTTCATTATCTTTTATCCATTTCCACCATCACTCTGAACGTATAGATATTCAGAATTTACAACATGATCAATGCTTATAAACTAATTTCTGAACCATGAGAATGAATCAATTAGTTAAATAGACTGAGAATATTTTTCTCATTTGATTTTGGTCTCTCTCTCTCTCTCTCTCTCTCTCTCTCTTCATGATCTCACCATCATGTTGATTCTTCATGTGAAATATATCCCACTCTCTTCACCTTTGATACCCACAGCTTATCAGCTTTTTGGTTTGCGTACATTGTTACTACCTGAGAATCCATCACATCAGAACTTTTATCATGAAGATAAGCTTGATTTTCAAAAGATTTTTCCATTTATTCAGTAACAACAACATGATTCTTAATCCAGCTAATACTGTTATTCATCAATGATACTGTTATTGTTGATGTTGTTGTTCAACTGAAGGTGGTAAAAAAAGTATAATCATATCATAGGAACAGAAAAGGAGTAAGCCAATGTTTCAATTTCATCTTAATCTCGTGTAAGGTGGGAAGTAAAAGCTATCCCACTTCCCCTGTTAATATTTTACCACTCAAAGGTAAATACACTTTTTCAAAAAGTTCTGAGTTGATTAATCAACTCTCAATTCACCTTAATATAATCATCATGAGGATGGAGAGGGAAAAAGTTGCTATAAGGTATGAGAAAGGTTGATTTTCCCTCAACACTTGATTCAAAGTCTTTCATGAACTTTACTCAGTTTATTGAATATACGGAAAAGTATCCTGTTCATTTATCTTACAGGGAATTTCATGTCAACCGAATGAAAAAATAAATGATTATCTTCATCAATAAACATTATCATGAATACGAATTCATTTTTTTTTTGCACCTTTCAGATTTCAACGCCTCTTTTTACTCAATTGTTTTTTCTCGACTCATCACAATTCCCACCCTGAGTTAAAGTTCAGTTGCAAATATATATTATCATCTATGAAAATTGGAACTCAGAGAAAACAGGAAAAAAATTGATTCTTCTCATAATGAACAGTTAAAGTGGGAAAATGATCATCATATTAATGACAATCAGAATTGAATACAACACAACTTAATGATTTAGTTTAATGAATCAAAACTGAAGAGGGTGAAATATGATTATAAGGGAGAGATTCTTACCCTTTCCGACCCACCGTGTAACTTTATTAACAAGCAATTGTTCAAGTTTTCATACAGATCATTATCATGAAATAGGTTTACAATTGTATTTGATAATAATTACAATTGTGATCATTTCAAATGATTAGCATGATGATCATTTTTAATCATTATCCTCCATGAATATGAACACTTGATATCATGATGAATAGCTCATGATTAATGGTCTGTAATGGATCTAGTTGAAGGTGGGGGTGTCGTTGTTAAGAGTGGAAAGTGAATTCTGGAATCTTGAATTCTGTGTATAAACATCAGAGTAACAAGATTGGATAATAATAATGATGAACAATAAAAAAACGGTTACCATGAACCTGAAAATAGTAACAAGTCAACCTTGTTTAACGATAATACAATGAATTGTAAGCAATCAAAGTTGATTATTATTATCTAATCATCGTGAACATGATGATCGTGTTGAAACAATTCAGATTTTTTTTGCTTCTCTTAATGATTGATTAGTTGAATTGTCAGTTGAGTAAATTTTTTTCAATTAGAAAAAAAAAGTTCAGTCTTTCAGAATTTTTTTACATCTTCAAGAAACGAAATGATTATAACTCAATATCAGTATCGATTCTTGGATAGAAGTCGATTGTTCAATTATCGACGAGTAAACTGATCTAATAGTTGATCAGAATTTCAATTCTGAACTTTTTTTTTCAGACGAAAGGATTCAGAAAATTTGTATTAGCATTTTGATTAGTAGATTTGATTTTTTATTATGAAATCTGAATAGAAAATTTTTTTTTTCTAGTTTCATGGGTTCAGTTGTTTCAGAGATTTGAGATAGTTGGAAATTCAGTTTTTTTTTCATGATAACTGAAGCTGAAACAATGTTTACATTGGTCAAGCAAGTAAAGATTAATCTGCTTACATGTCCAGTTGAATTGAGCCAATGTTTTTTTTTGTTATTTCCATGAAACCAGAAAATGAATGAGAATCTAAATGAAACCTTTGAATGAATCAATGAACCATTATCATCATGAAAAGGTAATAATAATGTTTCCAATGTTGATTCTTGTGCTTAATATCCAATGGATAAACATGATTGACCCATTCTCACCTTAGAGGATGATGGTCAATCTATATAACTGGTCACCTAATCAAGAGTGATAATAAAGTATCTTTAATCATGGAAACAATAACATGACCAAGTTAAAGAGCAGGTAAACTTTTCTAATATTATATTCACTGAACAATTTTATCTCTCTCATGAATCAGAACTTTTGACATGAAGATTAACCAAGAAAGAATAGAAAAAAAAATATCATAATAATAATATTATATTTTCACCTAATAAACTTCCCACTGAGTAAACTTTTCAAAATATTATATTATAAAAATAATATCAAAACTTTTCGAGGAAAGAAAAATATATTTAAGATGATTCAGTAATTGTCCAGAATCATGAATATACACATTCACCCTGAAGCTGAATTTCATTTGGAAACTCATAATCACAATCATGGTTCTTGCTGTTTAAATTATTTCATTTTCAATCCTCTATCATGTAACCCTAATGGTTTATATCGCCGGAGGGCATTTGAAACTTTTTTTTTTCTATTGTTTCCTTTTGCTCCTTGTCACCAATTTTTACAATTAAACTCTCAATCTATTGAACAATTTAACTTTCCAATCAATTGTAATCATGATGGTAATTATTTGTTGGCCAAACAATTTACCACCATGGTAATGATTATGTTAATTGTTGAGGTAACAAAAAGTAAACCTTGAGGTGGGAAAACAAATCAAGTAAATTAAACAAAATTTCAAGCTAATTGTTGGCAACATAAAATTATTAAACTGGTTACAATTTAATGGTGATTAGTTTTATTATTGGAAAAACATACAAACTGAATATAAGTTTTTTGTTAATATCATCAATTAATTTACGATTCAATTGTTTACAATCAAAGAGCAATTATGATTATAATAACAATTTATTTTAATGGTTAATTGTTTCAATCTTTCCACTGATTTAATATCTCAGTTAATTATCATACGAGTAATTATATAATTATGTTGACCTGCCACCTCCCATTTCCCACCATCACCCTGATTATATGTGGTTAATCATTAACGTTAATTATTGTAATTAAAAAAGTATTGGAACTCATCAACTACTAAGCTGATTAAATTGTTTTATCAAATTTTAATGTTTATCGACAATTAAAATCCTTAATTGGTGATTAGTATTATGGGAACAATGCCAATCAGTAATTAAGACTACCGATCATTTTTTTATGATTAGTTAATTAACTGGGAACAATTTACTTTGTTAGTTAATCACTTTCGATCTCATTCATTAGTATGAGGAGATTTTTGTTTCTTATTCAAATTCGAGGCGAAATAAACTAGTTAGAACTCGAACTTTTTCCTCTTACATGTTCGAAGGTCGTTTGATCGAACGATAAAGATTAGCATTTCATTGATATTCGAGTTTTGTTCATCATTATCTCTCTCTCTCTCTCTCTCTTTCGCTTTCTTTGGATTACTTATTATCTGGGTTATTTGTGAATTCGAAATTCTGAAAGCTCTGTGATTGTAACAATAGAGTTTGAGAGGAAAAAAGTTCGATGATGGATTGAGATGATAATGATGAGTGAGAAAATCTTAATACTTCTCATCTTGAGATTATCAGTTGAGAATATCATGGATCATCTTTAAGAACTTTTTTCGTATCATTTTTCCAATAAAAATGTTTCTCTTTATTTTTTTTTTTCGTTTTTTCGCTGACTAAGAATATATCATATTCTTTCCATCTTCGTTTCTATCTATCTCTTTCTCTCTCCCACACACACAATGGATATAATTCATCAGAATTATAAGAAATATTCATGATGAAAACATGAGAGCTCAGAAAAAAAGCAATAATATGATTCAGTGTCCAGTTGAAAAGTATCATCGATATAATCATGATGATGGAAGATGAAGATATCATGTTATAAAGGCGTTTCAAGAGTTTCCATTTCATTCTGTATTCAAATAATTTTAAATTCGAATTTTTTTGCCTTTGAAATATCTTTTTCAATTGTTGACCAAATTCTCAAATACTATTGAGATAATTATCGTATTTCGATACATGATTTTCTTTCTTGTTCTAAATAATTGATTGAAATTGATTGAATGATTATACGATTGGTTAAAAAAAAAGAAAAACAAACTAAATAAGTTTTTTCTTCTCTATTTTTTTTTCTTCCACTGACCAACAGGATACGGAAACATTGGACCTCGAACCATGGAGGGTAAAATGTTGACCATTGCATATGCTATTCTGGGGATTCCATTGATGATTTTGTTTCTATCAAAAATGGGCTCAATGCTGGCCAATGGATTAAGATGTTTCTATCGGACATGTTGTGTCTGTTTACCCTCAGGGGGTGGTAAAGGTCAACTAAATGGTAACTTGGCCCATTCAAGTTCAGGGCAAGGAATTGGTGGTGATTCAGGTGATGGTTTAGGTTTAGGTGGTGGGACATTAGTAACGGTTGACGGAGGCTTGGGTGGTATCACTGGACTTGACCAAATGTTGTCCGGAGGAGGAGGAATGGGTGTTGATGGTACTGGTCATTTATCTTCACCAACTGGCCTTTTATCATCTCATCATCATGGTAATCATTCACATCATCATTTACATGATCATTATCATGTTCATCATATTGCATTGAATGATATTCATGCGGCTAACCAAGGGTCAGGTCAAGGTGGGACAAATCCAGCCTCGGGTCATGTTGCCCTCCATTGTAATTCAACATCCAGAAATGGAGTTAATCCCAATCAGACAACCGGAACTCTGGGTATTGTTTGCAAGGGAAGCGGAGTGGGTGGTGGTAACAATTGCTATGGAACCGGAGGAAATGGAACATGTAATGCAATCTCAATTTCTGGTTCACCGGGGCTTGTCGGTGGTACCAATGGGTTAACCTTATCACCCACCGTGGTTTCAATGGGTAATTCAGTTGGCCCCTTGGGTATTGCAACGATAACTGATTCTGAGCAAAAAATTTGCCCTGAAACAACCCAAGTGCCTGAACATTATACCTGTCAAGGTATTTTACTCAATCGTCACTCTCATGCAACCTTGCACACTCATCCACCCTCAGGTCATCATCATCACCATCACCCTGATCATATCAATGCAACGACCTTAACAACATGTACAGCTGATCTACACAATGATTATCAACAATACTCTCAACAAAACGATTATCAAGTTAATCATCAATGTTGTCATCATATTCACTCCCAGTCTAATCACAATAATCATCAATCTAATCAGAATCATAACCAATTTAGTCAACAAAATGGTAATGATTGTTCTGGTCAGTCTGGTCAGTACTATTATCCAAAAACCGTCCCAATAACTTTATGTTGTATTATAATAATTAGTTACATTTTCCTTGGAGCGGCAATATTTTACCTTTGGGAAGGTGGTAATTTCTGGGAATCGGTTTATTTTTGTTTCGCTTCAATTTCAACCATCGGCCTTGGTCAGGCCACTTGGATACTATCCGATTTCAGGAATTCTGAGAAAAAGTTAATTCTCTGCTGTGTTTACATACTTTTCGGCCTTGCCCTTGGTGCCATGGTTTTCAACCTATTACAAGATCACATTAAACGAAAGTTGACCTCATCTTCTTCTTGCAGGTCATCGGGTAAAAAAGGTAAACCTGGTAAAAGAAAATCGTCCACCAGCGGTGGCTATTCATCGCACCATCTTAACCAGAATTCTCAGCATTCACATCTTTACACAGCGACCGGTGATAGGGAACTTTTGACATCAACTCCAGCGCCAAATAATCCGCTCCTAGTTGAAGATGATTTTGATGTTTAATGGTGAAAATAATGAACAAATCAAAAGGGATAAAATAAATCAACACCTAATGATAACTAATGATAAAAGTTGAATCATTTTCATTCTCATTGGATTCACTTACTTGGCAGAACCCAATTCGATTCTCAGATTTCACTATCTTATGGTCAAAGTCATTAATCGCCACAAAGTGACAACTTAACCCTCTGTCCACTACCCACTCTCTCACTTGTCTGTCTCGGTTTCTTATTATTGTAACAAATGATAAAAAACAAATGCTCAATTCATTATGATAATATTACATTATCTGATTATCAAATTCTTAGTGATGGTCAAGCAGCAAAAACAAGAGGAAAATTTTCTGACCAAAGACAAAAGATAATGTGATTTTAATACAATTATCAGTAAGAAATGGTCAGTCCAAGGGGTTGGTAGTGGTCATCTGATGATCTTGATATGATATTGAACATATATCTTTATATTATTATTATACTTTGATATATTACCTTTTATTGAATCTTATTTGGCCTCAAGAGAGTGAGTGAGTGAGAGAGATTGGCTATCATATGGGGTGAAACATGATAACCATGGTATTGACCATCATCTCTCTCTCTCTCTCATGGTGATGATCATAATAATGATGAAAACCACTGAACGATTTCAAGAGATTAAAAAAATCATTCATGTTTTTTTTCTGGGAATTGGATCATTGACCCAATGAGGAAAAATAGAAAATAAAAAAGTTCATGATGATGAAACTTCTGGATTCTTTTCAGTTAAGGTCAATTTAACAGACGGTCAAGCATTTCAACTACAACAAACACCACAAGATAAATGACCCATAACCTTTGACCATTTAACAAACAAACAAACAAACAAAACTCATCATCACTTTATCAAAGTTTATTATCATGACAACTCTCAGAGATAATCATGAATTCAACTTTAATCCTATGAATTGGATTATCTCTCATCTTTTTCCCTTTTTACTTGAGTCCAGATTAGTAACAAAAAAACCACCAGAAATTTAACTAATCACCTTTGACGATCAAATCAAATTGTCAAGTTTAATCAACGTAAATTGTTGTGGTGATGGTTAATTGGCCATCAATTGTTAACTGGGACAGATTTTAATAATTGTAATAAAATAACAATTAACTTGATCAAAAAACTTTGTAATCTAATGTCTTATATCAATGATAATGTAAATTAATTGTTTGTAATAATTAAAAATTAACTAATAAAAAAACGATACTTTTGATTTGTTATAATGGATTTTAAATTGTCACAATCTTAATCCAGGAACAATTAAGTTGAAAGATTAAATTTATATCCATCATCAACATGAGATAATGTTTGTTTTATTTTAAGATAATAAATGAAGACACAGACAGAGAGAGAGAGAGAGAGAGAGAGAGAGAGAGAGAGAGATGATAATGATGATAATAAGAGTGACAATAAAGATGATCAGGTTGAGGATCAAGTTGGAGATCAAGATGAGGATGACAAAGTTAACGATAGCTCATCGTCTTCATCTTCCTCATCATTTCTGTCTCTTTTTTGTCAAATGATGCCAAGAATGATACTGAATATAAGGAAGGCTTAATTCGTCTCTCTCTCTCTCTCTCTCTCTCTCTCTCTCTCATCTTCATCTTCATCATTACTCTTAATTGTTTTTAAACTTTTCCCTTGATTCATTTTCAACTCAGTCATCATTACAGCTTAATCCAATCTTAATCCTGACTAATGTTATCAACTTCATTATAAATATATAAATTGTTATCATTTTCATCATTTCCGTTTCCGTTTGAAGCATTAAATATTAACATTATACTATTTTTTTTTTCAGTTGTGAAATTAATTTACTTTAATCTTAGTTTTACCTCAATGAAGATGATGATAAAAGAAGATAAATTTTTTTCCTCTCTCAGCTGATTTACCTTTACAATTCATCTTTCTATTAAAAAAACTAAATCATCATCATAATCATCACATTGTCAACATGATTTATTGGAATCTTGTTAATTAACTAAACCATCATTCATTCAAAGTATACATATAAAATAATATATTAATTGTTACCATTGTTTATATGCATGTTCAATGTTAATCACAATTACAACTGTTACTCCTCCAACAACAACAATTAAACAACAACAACAACAACAATCAACTCACAGATTAAAGTTAATCAAATGGGCTGATAAAGGTAAGTCACAAAAAAAGTGATGAAGGTGAATCAATACCCTGAGGGAATTATTGAAATTTTTTATTGTTATTTTGTGAAAAATTTTGTTGAACAAGAAAAGTAAACAACTTTTTCTTAACGGTCTATGTGTCGATAGGCTTTCAGTGGGTGGTGACAGTTTCCGTTTATGGCTTATGATAATCGGGCATCCAAACGCAAAAGTGGTCGTCGTCTTCCTCCTTCCCACCATCGGCACCGTTCTCGAAATCGCCATGGTCATGAGTCATCTTCCTCATATCGTCGACCTGTTACCTCGGGGGAAAAGTGTAAAGATTATTGCAGAAAATTTGTCGCATTCCTGTTCAGTCATATTGGTATAAGTGCCATTGTGGTTGCCTACATGATCGGTGGGGCACTTTTATTTCAACGCCTCGAGGGTGAGGCGACAAACGATATAAACATTTCCGTTGGTGAGATGATTATCCAATCGGTTGACCGGATGTGGATTATAACCAATGAGATTAACATTCTTAATAGAGATGCCTGGGACCAGATAATCCGTAATGAGACAAATATATTTTCAATCAATCTGATTAAACAAATTCAATCAGGATTTGATAATGAGCCACGAAATAATAAGTGGGAGTTTCCAGGAGCATTCCTATTCTGTCTAACGGTAATTACAACAATCGGTAAGATGACCAGCCATTAAACGATAATCCACCAGAGTCTTAATCCTTCATAATCTCAACTTTTATATAATCTGATTGAAGAAAAAACTTCCAACTCAAAATCTTATTGATTCTGATTCCATTTTGAGTCAATGATGTTTCACAATTCAGAATTAAAACTCAGTTTTCTCATCATTCTAACAATTAACTAATCATTATGATGTGAAAGATTCTCACTCATTGATCCTAATTATTATCATCTAAATGCTATTCTTTTAATTGGTCGTTAATTTGATATGGAAAAAGCTTCCATCAAGTTACTCTGAGGTGGAAAATGAATGAAAATTGTTACATTCATATACTCAGAATTTGTATCACCTCCTATTCACCATGAAAACCACTTTCCACCCTCATGAAATCTCATGGTAATGCTAACAGATTGGCTTAGGAATTTTTTTTTCTTCACCATCATTTGCTAATTATCAAAATGCAAACACGAATTAAAATGTTAATCAACTTGCCAGAAATCTAATGAAAGTTTTTTCCTCTTCCACTGATGATAATGAGTTTTTCACCCAAAGTTTATCATGAATATCTACTCATATTTATACACTCACACTCGGTGGGTGGAAGGAAAAGTTTCCACTGGTGGGGACATTTAATCATATTCACATTTGGATACATTTCTCACTAATTATGATTCGCAATTTAAGATCTGCAAGTTAATTGCATGTTAATCATAAGATTCTCATTTAAATATTGTTAATCATAATCAAATTAATCTTCCGCTTCCTGGATGAACATTAATATATTCAATATAATATTAGATCCCAAAAAAAACAACAACAACGTTGATTGTTGATTAACATGATATCCTTTGGATGGTAATTTATTAATTGTTTGTCAATCAAGTTTAACTTTTTCATTTCTTTCCTGTTAAATTTAATTTAATCATTTAAATTCAGTTTAAATTTTATCAACAGAGAAAGTGAAAACTTTTTCATTCAAATTAACATCTCAATGGGTTGATTAACATTTTGATTTTTTTTCCCAACAACAATTAAACAACAATAATCGCTAAGCCTTTTTAATCATATTCAACCATTTTTTTTAATCTAGTTGTGAATCATTATCTGTATAAATTGTTGCTTAATTGTCAATCAAAATGATTAGAAGGTTAAACGAGGTTAAGTCGTGGATTGTAAACTGTTCAAATCTCGAACTCTCGAAAAGTTCTAAGGTTAAAAACTTTTCCTTTTCTTACTCCTCAACATAAACACTAATTATCAATTATAAATCTATTGAGTTCTAGCAACAATTAACTAATTGTAACTCTTACTGTTGAATCAACAATCAGGATAATAATAACTAAAAAACTGTTACATTTGTTTTACTAAAACAAAACAAACAATCAGTTGATTTGTAAACACAATCAATCACAATTAACCATCAAAACAAACCATCAACTTTTTAAATTACCTAATCATCTAATAACTTGATTAGAACCGAGTTAATTAATAGTAAAGTAAAAAACAAAACTTGGTCCATTTAAGAGTCGAGATTCAGATTGAAATTGAAATTTTTTCTTCTCTATTCAACTGGGGCTGTATTTCCGTTTCCTCTTCCACCCATTTTTCCCAAATATTAGCATATAAATGAAGCTTAATTATTATCAAAATTAGACCTCAGAACCTTTTGTATCCTAATAAACACATTGGATTATCAAGGAGTAAACAAAATAAAAGTGTAACCTTATTTTTGGTCCCACCTTTTGGATCTAATCCAGAGAGAGAGAGAGAGAGAGAGAGAGAGAGAGAGAGAGAGAGAGAGATTAACTGTTGGCACCGATATTTAACATTATCTCATTAAATAGATAGAAAAACAAACCCTCTGGTATATATGGATTAAGATTGAGATTAACATGATATTTAACATGAAGCAAATCAGTTTGCAAGTAAACATGATAATAGATTTGAAATGGTTTTTTCTCAGTTAACAGTTATAATCATCAAGTGAATGTCAGTAATTATCTTTACTTGTATCACCGTTATCCATGATCATCTTGTATTACTTTGCATATTTTACATCATCAAATCATCCTGATTATGTCTTCATTTCACCAAAAAGTTCAATAATATCATGAACATGATGAGAGAGAGAAACTGAAAGGATCAGGAAAAAAGTTCATCTTATTCATCATGTAAACTGCATCATCTTCAAATCATTATCATTAACCTCATCTTAACTTTCTGATTGTTATTATTAATACATTTATGTCACATCATTGGCTTCAATTAGGCAATTAGTTAATGAGTTATTCATTGACGATGATTAGCAAATTTATCAATCAGCTGACAAAGTCATAAATTATTGTTGCGTATTCTCAATGAAGATTATGAATAATTTATTGGGAAAATGGATTAGTTTGAATTGTAATCTTTTCTTTTGTTTTGCTTTCCAATCTGAATCGCATTAGGTTATGGTCATATAGCACCGATAACGGCTGAAGGACGAGCGGCGACAATTGTTTATGCCATTTTCGGGATTCCGTTGATGTTACTTTATCTCGCCAATATTGGTGGTACTTTGGCTAAATCATTTAGATATGTTTATGGTAAATTTCAAGCATGTTGTTCATTGAAACACTCGGCGAGAAGTAGATCAGCACGATCACGATCACGTCGAGTTTATAATTATCAGCAAAGTGGAAGACGAAGTGTCGGTGGAGGTGAAAGAGGAAGAGGAGGAAGTGCTGGTGGAGGAGGAGGAGGAGGAGGAATTGGACCTAAATCATCAATTGAATTAAGTCCTTTTAAGGGAACAATAAAAACACCTAAAGGAAGTGGACCAACTCCAGCAACACCAGGAACCAGTGGCAGTGGTGGAGGTGGAGGAGGAACAGGTATTGGAACCATGGGTGCAATATGGTCAACAATTACCTCACATCATCATCAATCAGCTAATTCCTCATTACCAAGTTCACCGATTTCCAAAGTTACTCGGAACATTCCCTTTATTCCAGATTCTAGGTTAGAACTTTTCGAATTATTTTCATCTTTTCCTCTTATATTTATAACATTATTCTCATGATAAATTGATATTCTCATCTGCCCCCTCCTCCAAATAATAGTAATGTTTATTTTTCGAGCAAATTTAAAATTGATTGTTACTTGATCTTGTCCAGTTTCCCGTCCATTACCATACACTGACCATTACCAATGATTAGTTTTCCATATCCAATAGGATAATATTTCATTCAGAGAGACCTTTCCACCCTCACTAATGGCCAAATAATGATGATCACCACTCCCATGAAAACTAAACAATCACTTTACCACCCACCCTGAAAACCTCCCACCATAGTTAATGTGAAAAAGATCCAAGGTAAACTTTGTAAGATGGAAAAAAATTTCGAAATCAATCATTTCGATTTTTCTTTTCTTCTGACAACTTTTTTCACTTTTTTTTTAATATCTAACTTCATGATTATCATGAACTTTTACCCTGACATATTAAAGAGAAGTGGATCAAATTGACTGACAATTGAATTAATGGTTAACTAATTGTTTTGTCAACAAGAATCACAACTTGTGTCAAGTGTTTGGAAAAAAAGTTTTTCTTTTCGTTAACTTGTTCAAATTAGAAATCATTTAGAATCATCATCATGTAGGATTTTGAGATAAAAGTTCATCCTAATGGTGACAGAATTTTCCAGGAAATTGTAGAAAATCATTAAAGTTTTAATATGAATTTTTTCTCCATCATCATAATCAGAATCAGAATCGTCATGAGTTTCGATATGAAAAGTAAATGAAACTCAGGGAGACAAAAAAAGCTCTCAATCCTATTTGCTAGTGGAGAGAGAGAGTATGTGTATGAGTGAGCAAAGAAAAAGATATTTCCATTTTTTTCCAATATATAATAGAATTGATATTTAGTAACATTATTATGATGAGAGTCGGAAAGTTGAAATGATCATGAAGTTTTACCATGAATCTAAAGTGAATATAAATATAAGCTTGATGATGATTAGAATGCTAGAAATGAAGAGAGAGAGAGAGAGAGAGAAATATTTCGAAACAAAATATTATTAATACTTGGAGTTGTCTAGATTCTTGAAACGTTGATAATATTAGTATGAAAACATATTCTGAAAAGTATATCTCATGTTGTAATAACATGGTAAACATGTCAACTTACAAGTATCAACAAAAGTTTGAGTGAAAAAAAGTATCATGATGAGGAGAGGGTGATGTTGGTTTTACCTTTCCACTTACAAATCCCACCGTAACCCTCCTTATCCATGAGAAAATGATAATAATAGTTTGTCATGTTATTTTCCAGTTCGAGACATGAAACACCCGAACTTGTTTCTGGTTATCGTTTGGGTAAAAGTCCAACTGAACCAAATATTCCCGGAGGCGGAAGTGGACCAACAATGGGAGGAACAGGAGGAGGAACTGCAACCATCAATAGCGGTCCTGTTGGAAGTGGTGGTGGCGGTGGTGGTGGAGTTCAGGGTGTTAATTCTGATCGAATAATCGAACGTGAACCATCTTCTTCTATTCGAATGATTGGACGAGATGAGGTTATAAATGAGAATCGAAAAGGTAGCGAGCGAGTTCACGTTCCAATTTCACTTTGCCTTTTCATCTTAATTGCTTATGTTTCCATTGGTGGAATCCTTTTCTCCGGATGGGAATCATGGGAAGTTCATGATGGAATTTATTTCTGTTTTATTACTCTTTCAACAATTGGATTCGGTGATCTGGTTCCAGGGGAGAAATCATTGAAATCGGAAAATATGATTCTCTGTGCACTTTACATCCTGATGGGATTAGCACTTATCGCCATGTGCTTTAATCTCATGCAAGAAGGTGTAATCCATAAGGTTAAAACTTTAGGTATAATTATTGGTATTATAAAGGATCCGGATGCTGAAGATGATTATTATTACCATGATGATGATTATTATTATGATGGTGAATCGGATGTGTAATAAAAATACACAGAAAATGTTATCAGAAAATAATCTTAATCTGATAACATTTTCATACTCACAATTTAATAACAATCAAATGAAAATGTTATCATGATATCAGAATATCAATAATTAATATAACACCTTATATTCTGAGGGAGAGAGAGAGAGAGAGATAAATTCTGATGAATAATAACATGACTCGATTAAGAGATACATGTGATTATAATCACCATGAAAAATATAAACTGGGAATCGAGGATTTTTCATGATTATGTTTTCCATGATAAAAGAGTAAACATAAAAACCATTGGAAATCAGAATGAAATCTCACCCAATGAACATCAATAGATTAGTATGATAATACTAATGGAAGAAAATTGTTCTCTTTCTAGTTTTCTTTTTCTTTTTCGATGGAAAATGAAACATTGAAAATTCTGATTCTCATGAAATAAATTGAGAAAAAATGATGACAATTTCCCTCTCTCTCTCTCTCTCTCCTCCTCCTCTTCCTCTTTCTCCTTCTGCTCAATTTTCATCTTCATCGAATCTTTTTCAACTTGGAACTTTTCATTTTTTTTTCTATCTTTTAACTTCATCTTCATCATCGCTTTACAAGGATCACAATTTTCACTCAAAATTGACTTGATTTATAGCCTTTTCTTGTCTCTCTATCTTATTTCATCATAATCATCATGTCTCCATACTGAATGTTAATAACATGAAATTTTACAATAATCCGTATTGGATTGGATACATTTATATGAATATATGTATATATATTATAACGATAAGAATCGTTTTACATTTTCACTTATTTTCATTTGGAAAATAAACTTTTTTTTCATCATCATTATCATTCCTATTCAGAATCATCATGTAATGATACATGAACATGCTTATGATTTATATGTATTTATATTCAATTTTCACTTTTTCCTCTTTTGAGCTTTTAATATAATGTGAGCATAGGTCAAATCAATTTATCGTCATCAACTCCATTGATTTCCTGATAACATCATTAAATATCCTTTTTCTCCTTAAATTTTTATGGTAACGATCAGTGTGAACATTGGTGTTCATTGAGAATAACAATGAGTAATAATTGAATTGCGATGATGACTAAAAGATCAAATTAATTAGGTGTGTAGTCAACAACAACCCATGGGATAACAGGTAAATGGTTAACTGCATGGTTAATTATTGGAGCACTCACGTTTAAATGAGATCGAGCTCTAAAGAAAACATTTTGACTTGAATTTTCGGAAATATAAAAGCCACTTTCAGCACGGGAAGCATCTTGAACTAATGTTATCTGAGAATAATCAGATGGTTGAGGAGATGGAAAATATATATCCGATCTTAATTTATCATCAATCGCCAAGTATTCATTGTTATTGGGATGAATATGCAATGTAAAGTTTGACTGATCTAGTCGAAAATTTTGATCGGTGTATATTATTGAACCTGCGGGGCGTAAAAGTTGAGCTAAATGCCGGTGAAACATTTGAATCACATCATGAATCCGATATTGTTCGACTTCATCATGAGCTGGGGCAATGGTTACTGTAAAGCTGGACAAATTATCTGCGATTTGTTGACAATTTACATGTGTGATATTCATTCGCCCTTTTAAGTCATTTCTCTGTTCAAGTAAAGCTTCGATTCGAGATTGATTTCTGTCAAATTGGTCAGATAAATCACGTTCCATTGAAATCTCTTCCAATATTTGATCACTTCTAGATTTAGCCTGTATTCCCAAATGTCCGCTTATTTGGCCAATATCATTTAACAATGATTCGTAAATGCGATACAGTTCAATAATCCTTTCCTCGGTTCTCGCTTTATCCGGTGTGGCCAAAATTTTTGCACGAATCTTATTCATTCTGGATGAGGTGTCAATCAATAGAAAAATAGATAAACATGTAATAATTACCAAGGAAAGTGTTAAAAAAGAGAAATACAAAAGAACTTTTTTAGAAATTTTCTCACTCATTTTGTTTTTCTTTTCCAATTTTCTTCTTCTCTAAACCTTTTCAACTTTAAACACTGAAGGAGACGAAAAGACCACACATATTTTTCCAAGTGTAGAGAAAAATAATCCATTATAAACAATAAAAGAAAAAAGGAAATTAATTAAAACACGGATAACAATTAGAAAAACAATCAACTAATTAACTTTTTGTAGAATCTAAACATCGGCTCTCAATAAGAATAGAAAACAAAAAGAGCGGCGGCTTAATGAGCCGATTTGGTAACCATGGCAACAGAACAACAATCAGATGTTAAGACTTTAGAATTTTTATTTTTTTCTTAATTCTTTTTGTCTCTTTTTTTTTTGTTATTTTCTTTCATTCAATTGAATCATTATCTAAAAACCATAGTTTTCATTGTTTACTTATGGATTAATTAAAATGGTGATGATGTCAGGTGAAAAGTTAACTAGTTCCGGTGTTTCTGGTAATAGTGTTGGTAAACTCAGATGGGATCCAACAATTACCAATCCAATGTTTGTTGATTTGGTTGACCTGTTGCGTTGTCATAATTGTAAAAAATTGTGTTATACTGTTCACAATTTATCTAAATGTGATCATGTCATTTGTAATGAATGTAAAAAAGGTATGACCAGTAAAAAATGTCCCCTCTGTGGATTATCTACAAGTGAGATTAGAAATGATACCGATTATGCAAATTTAATTAAAGATGTTCGTATGTTAAATCAACAATATTTAAAGATTAGTTTTGCTGTTCAACAACAACAACGAGCTGTTAACAATAATATTAATGCTAATACTAGTAGTAATAGTAATGATTCAAGGGTATTTAGCCCGCCTCGTCCACCAGTTACGTCCACTTTACCTTCATCTTTACCTTCACCTTTACCTTCATCTTGTCCTGTTTCGGTACCTGAACCTGTGAAAGGAAAAGCTAAAAGAAAATTGATCGAAGAAGATAAAATTGTTAAAGAAACTGTACCTAAACCACGTGAAGTGGTTGTAGAGGAGAAACGAACTACCCGATCTACTCCAACCAAAAAGGCGCCAACCAAAGAAGTTGCCAGTGTTTCTGAAAGCCCATCTCGAGATCGACAATTGAAAAATAAATTGACCCAAGAAGAAAGGGAAACCAGAAAAGATTCAACTGACGAAAAAGCCAAAAAAGATAAAGAAAAAGAGAAAGTTGGTAGAGCCAAAGGCCCGCGAAAATCTGTCAGCTTTTCCCAAGAAAGTGAATCAGCTGTTACTCCGAGAAAAAGTCCTAGAACCAACAAAGGAAACCTGATGTATACACAAAAACAGATCGAACAACCGACTATTGTGATCAAAAAACTTCCTGTGGTTTTAAATCAGCAGAAAGAGAGAAAGGGAAAGAGAAAGCGAGAGAAAATGAGAAGAAAGTAGAAAAAATGAAAGAGATGAAAGAAAAGGAAAAAGAGAAAAAGAAAGAAAAAGAATTAGAAAAAATGAAAGCGAAAGAGCAAGAAAAGGAAAAAGAGAAAGAACTAGAAAAAATGAAAGAAAAAAAGAGAGAAAGAGAAACGAAGAAGGAGAAAGAAAAAGAAGAGGCCGAAAGAGAGAAAGAACGAGAACGAGAGGAAAAAGAAAGAGAGGAAAGAGAAAAAGCGGAAAGAGAAAAAGAGAAAGGAAAAAAGAAAACTATGGAAAAAGTGAAAGATAAATCGAAAGAGGTTGAAATGGAAAAACCGGAAGAGAAGGAGAAAAGAAAAAGGAAAAGAGTAGAAAGTATAAGAGAGAAAACCAAAGACGAAGATAAAGAAACGGAATCAGAATTGGAAACGCCTAAACCAACGAATAACAGTAACAATTTGGCCTCCAAAGGGCGTCCCAAGAGGAAACCAAAAGAACCGGAAGTTTCAGTTGATGATGATGAAATTTTTGTCAAACCAAAAGGAAAAGGTAAACGAGCAGCTCGTTCAGATACAACACCAGAACAAACTCCAACGAAACGACAACGTAAAGTGAAAGAGACTTGCGATGAAAATGAGACCGTATCACCGGGAGGACGATCAGCATCCAGTCGATCAACTGCTTCGAATGCCAGTTCACGGCCAACCAGTCGAATTCTAATAGCATCAACCCTATTAACCGAAGAACAAAAGAAAACACTGGAAAAGTTTAGTAAAACTTTGAACATTCGAACGACCTCAGAATTTCCAAACAATGTTACCCATTTAGTAACCAAATCAGATTCCAACAATCGAGCAACCAGATCAATGAAATATATGAAAGCTCTTCTAGCCCATAAATGGATATTAAACTTTGATTGGATAACCGAATGTCTAAAAGCGGGCGAATTAGTGGCCGAAGAACGATTTGAACTCGTTGGTACAACCAAACAAACGAAATCACAATTAGGAGCACCATCAAGATCTCGAACTACCAAGAAGAAACTTTTCTCCGGATTAAATTTCTACTTTGATGGTAAATTTAAATCTCCCGATTTACCCTGTCTAAGTGATCTTACTGACCTAATTTCCAGCGGTGACGGTACTATAATCAATAATGGCCTCAGATTGAATTCAGCGTTAAGGAAAAACGTGAAAGTTATCATAATTAAAGATGAAATTAAGGAGGAAGAAAAAACCGCCGACGGAAGTGCTAAATTCATTGATACAACTGAACTGCTCAATATTATAACTGCTTACAAAATGGAAGATCTAATTAACTAATCAAATCAGCGGTCATATTTTAATCATCACAATGATTAAGCTAATTGGTTAATCATTGGTTAATCATTTTTTTTTCTCAATCCATTGAATCAACATAATTTTGTTTTTCTTTCATTAACCATCCGACTAATTAATTCATCTTTTTATTACATTCTGATTTAATGTTATCACCATTTATCAATTAGTGTAATTACGATTCATTATTTTTCTTCTCTTAAATTCACAATTAAAATATTATTATACAAAAAAACTAATTAATCAATTACAAGTTGATGATTTATTGTTTTGCGAATTTTTCTTTTTGCAAAAAGTTTGATTAATGTAAAAAAAAGGACAGAATCACAATCAATTTTACCAATTAGTTGATTGTTTAAGTGCTCACAATGTGATTTGTTGACAACAAAAGATGTGAGTGATTAATAATACATGTGGTAATTAACTATCTGAGATTAATTTTGATCCTCACACAAGGTTAATCAAGTGGGAACAAAATTATCGATATGTTTTTGTATCAAGAGAGTTGATTGTTGATAAATTGTTAAAGATGAATAAATGCCATGAATAATTGTATTAAGTGTGATTGTGTGTTTATGTGGGTGTTTGGTGACTTATAATCAACACTTAATTGTGGTAATTAGATAATCAGATCTATTGTGGGTGAGGTTTTGGTGTTGAAAATTTTTTTGACTCTTTGGCCCCAAAAAAAAAGACGTAGCGTTAATTATATAAACTATTTTTGACCAAATTCCGCTTGACGCTGAGCTATTTACAAAGGCAATGGTGATTATCACTGGAAAGATTAAATTGATTTAATTTAAACTTGAGTAAAATGAGGTTGATAAGCACTTGGTCGATCAACTGAAAGCTCTTCTATCGGCATCATTGGACGGGCCTCGATGGAACCTCCGTTTCTTGGTCTCATGCTATAAACTAAATTGGTCATTTTTCGTTTCCTTTGATATTCCCTCCACGATTCTTTAATTAATAATCCACTGGCAATGAATAATAAAATCATAGTGATAACGGCTAAAAAGTAGGCCCAATCAAGGTGATTAAAGTTTGGATATTGCAACCACGATCTTTCAAATGCATATGATGCAAATATTGAGATTCCAATTAACATGCAAATAGCTGAATCAATATGAAAGAGAGAGAGAGAAAAAAAAAAGAAATTAGTGTTTAATTAGTTGAACATAATTGGTACCAATCGGATATACCTGAGATTGCTTCAAGTCCAGCGGCAACCGCAGTTACAACTATATGGTAACGTACTAGATAGTACATTAAACTGGCACTGATAAGTATCAAAGCGAGAGTTGTGAATATCAATGCTAATGTTAACATGGCTTGAACCATAATAAACCAACCTGAAAGGTGAAAGAAATAAAAGAATAGAAAAAAAAATATTAGAATATTGATTTATAATATGATTGATTTATCAAGTATTAAGGCTTTGAGTTGTCTTTTCTATTTTGCCTTCTTTTTGATTGATTTGTTTTCATCCAAGCATATATACAGAGGAAGGATGATGAATGGGAAGAGTGAAGAATCAAATTGTTACCTGGTTGAAGCCATTCTCTGATATTTTGATATTTAGCACTATAAATCCAATTACAGCCGTCAAATTTTTCATCATATTGATATGGTGGATGTCGATAATTATTGAAACAAACATCCCAAAGTCCAAGGCGAACAAATGAAGCGTAGGCTTTAGTGAAAGATGATAACCAATAAGGTGCAGCAAATGAGACAATCAAGAAAATCCAAGCAATTAGACAAAGTAAACTGGTTGCCTCGTATTTCCGTGTGATGTAAAATTTTGAACGGGAACTGTGTTTCTCGGTGCTGGCTCCACTTAGAGTTGAAGCCATTGTCAGATTGTCATTAAAAGAAGATGAAGAAAAAGAAAATTGCAATCCAATCCAAAATTCGGCAAAAAAGAAAAGAAAATCTCAAAATATAAAGATAGAAAAGTGAAGAAAATCAAATCAATGAGATTAAACCAAAGGTGAAGCACAGAAAAAAATGAATGAATGAAGATGAAGATAAACCAACAATTATCTTCAATTATGTAACATTGTCACTTGTTAGTACAACAGGTAAACCATTTGAGTGAATATCAAGACAAATCTTAATCTCTATTCCTTAAGGGCAACAAATATACAGGTAAAGATATGAAAGTAAATAAAGATTAAGATTTAGGTGAACCAAAAGGTATCAATGGATAAATGATTAAACATTTAATTGTTACGATTGTTGCAAAACCAATTTAGTTAAACACTAAATTAACTATTCTCTTAACTCATGTGAATGACACACCCTTAGAAAAATGTTGCATTTGAATGTTTATCAAAAGGTAAAAAAAAATATTTAGTTACCTGAAAATATTTGAAAAAGAAAAACAGGTAAGAGGGACCGTTGACTAATTTCGAAAAAAATATGAACGAAATTTTGTTTTTTCTTAATTACTTATGATTAACTAACGACAATTAGAATAATTAACTGTTGATGGAATTTAGGGATGATTGTTAATTCTGTGAATTTGATGGAGAAATTTATCTACTGATTGTAATTAGAATTAATTTTTAGTGAAGAAATTGAATTTTTCGTTTTACCGCCAAATCAGTTGATTGTTTGAGTTAATTGTTTGGTAATTTAATGTTTGTTTAATTGGTTGTAGTTGATTTTTTCCCTTTCTTTTTTAGGTAAAGTGTTTAATTGGTGTTTAATTGTTATTGTCAAGTGATTTTCTTACTTGTCAAATGATTGATTGATTGATTGTCGTTGATTAGTTTTTTTTTACATCGTTAATTGTTGATTGAACAATTAACTTATCAGTTTAAGTGAACAATCAGTTAATAGTTTGATGAAATTGTCAAGATAACTAATCTAAAACAATTGAATAAACTCTCGTTCTCGTGGTGTTTAGATTGATTAAATTTTTCCTTGTTATAACAATCAAATTAACCCACAATTAGATTGTTAAAGTGATTTAAACTAATTGAAATGTAATTAATTTCAAGAGGAAATAATAACAAATCAGATTAAATTATAATCGAAAGTCTAATTTATGATAATAACTGAATTGGTAATTTGTTATTTTACTTCCAAATTCATCTTGATTAAAGTTAATTGAGAAAGAGAAATTAGAATTAACTTTTTGTTTCTAAATCAATAAGTTAAATTATCAACAATTAATCACAAGAATAATATTAATACAAAGTTAATTGTGACATAGTATTTTTATTGACATTTGTTTGTTTCAATTTCGCATTTTGATTTCTATACAGAGAGAATTACAATTGGAATCATTTCTCTCGCCATAAATGAGATAATTAATCAAGGAATCAAGGTCTATGATTACAATTTAAATTGTTAGGAATACAATTGACTAGAAAAAATGTTCGTATTAAAAAAAAATAACAGTAAACATTGTTAAGCGTCATTGCTTTGTGTGTTTCCAGCAATTAGATGAGTATGTGTAGTAAAAGGGGTTAATCATTAACGGTGATACTCAATTTTCAAGGTTCATGATTGAATGGCAATGATGATGAAGATGATTAAACGATGATGATGATGATGATTCTAATGATGATATTGATGATTTTCAATAATTTCTCTTTCATTGTAACAATTAAGTAACAATAATAATAGTTGAAAGTAAAGATAAAGTCATTAACTGGAAGAGAAACATTAATGGCCAAGATACATACAGAGAAACTGTTAATTGATTTACATAAGTGATCATAATTAAAGATTAACAATATACAATATTGCGACTAAATTTTGATTACAATAATTAAATATATCTAATTGTTAAAGGAATAACTTTGAGTTGGTAACTCACTTTTTTTCTCATATTTTTGTCTATGTAATAATTATGAAAAAAAGCAAAGATGAGGAGATGGAGAGAGAGAAAACTAAACAATTAGTATATTATTATGAGCAATATGGCAGATTAATGAGAATAAATTGTTTTTGATTGTGTTTATGATGGTTAATTGTTTGTAATACTTTTGAGGTGTTGAGAAATTAACTTGATGATGATGATGATGAGGTTGACGATGATTCCGAGTGAAAGAAAACATGAACTAAATTGTTTTTCTTGGTTATACTTTTTCCCCAAACAATTATGGTTCCATCTTCACCGGCAACATGGAAATGTTGATTATCATGAGTATAAGTCATACATCTAATTGGTTGATTAAATTTTGATATAATCAGGGTACGGATTAGTGTTAAATCCCATGAATTGTACATTTTAATTGTCCCATCAGCAAATCCAACAACTAGCACATTAACGGAAATACCTTCAGGGGAAGATGAGTAACACATAGCGGTTATTTTTTCCGATGTTTTAATTTGTCCAACAACCGATCCGTTAATTGTTGTAACTTTTAAAAGGCTAAAACCTTGCTGATTACTTAAACTAGCAACATCTCCGAGAGTTGGACTAATTGTTAACGATATTATCTCATCTGGATGATTGGTTAATGTGCGAATGTAACAAATCCTATTAAGATCCCAAAGGATACAAGTTCCATCTGCACCACCAGAAACAATTACATTAAATTCTTGGTTAATTACGATACAATTAACTGATCCTTGGTGACCATGTAGCCAACTTTTACAACCACTCAACTCAGAATTACCCTGAAAGGTTAAGTAAAGAAACAAAAAAAAAGTAAATAAAACAGAGAAATGAAGAGACAATAAATTTAGTTAATTGTTACAATTATGTTGTGAGTAATTAACTGATTTACCTTTACAGGACCGGCAAAGTTATAAACAGTAATTAAACCTGATTGGTGTCCAATCATAAGTATATTCCTTCCAGGAGTTGTAGCACATAATGTTACCTAAAAGAGAGCAATTAAAATGAGAAATTAATGAAAATAAGGTAAGGAAAAGTTGATCTAATTAGTGGAATAAATTAATTACCTTGTCTAAATTTGAATTGCCTGAAATTAAAGGGATAGCTGGACCATGTCTAGAAAATTTGATTCTAATTATATTATCCGGATGGTTCCAAGAGACAAGCGCTAATGAGGTGATATAAGTTGCTCCTTGTGGATTACTTGAACTGGATTTAGGTCGATTGTAGGTTAATAATAGGCAAGTATTTGATTCGAGGAAAAACAACATTGGTAATTAATGGGTAAAAGGCCACAATTCGTCGGCCACTTTTTTCTCGGTGAACAATTAACGGTTCAACTTCGGAAGGTGATCCTACATAATTTCCCCATTTAATACCAATAACCTCTTCCATTACCGAGACCAAAGATGATGATTTGGAATCACGATTTTTCCGATCAGCTGAAACCACCGGATGTGGTGAGTTAAATAATTGTTTCGGCATTTGACCAAAAGTACGAATCATTGTTTGTAAAGCTTTCCGTTTAACTAGATCTCCAATTTTGGAAACATCGACACCATAATAGGTCGCTGGATGAAAACAGTTGATCGCTTCGACTGCAGCTCGACCCGTTTGTTTGTAACCGAAAACAAGGTCAATCCATTCCTGTAAATTGGCTGAAACGTAATCAGATTCAAGTGCTTGCCGATGAATTAAGACAAAGAGCCGAGCATCACCTCGACACCATGTTGGCAGTTTAACATCGTGGACAATTTCACCATTCTGACGAGTACCGAAGTTGAAATTTTCTTGATTACAAAGAAATTCGGGAAGACAAAAAAATTCTGGAATCAGCTCTTTGAAATCGGTTGTAGAATCACCACTAGCTAATCTCCATGAGGTTTCCATGGAGTGAAAGGTTCGATCGGGAATGTCGAAAGAATTGTCTTGATAAGCGAGAAACATTTGAGTAAAAGGGGTAATCGAACAAGAAAATGTAAAACTGTCCCTGAGTTCGAGTAATGGGAACCAAAATGATACGGACCAGTGGTGGGGAAAAGAGAATCGGCAACGTGAAAGTTTCTTTCATATTCTTCTTTCAGATAATTGTACTGGTTAACATAATACTCTTCTTTTGATTTGTGTTGAATGGCCATTGGTCGAGAAAGATTTCGAAATGAGGCTGGAACCTTTAAGTTGAGTACATCAGACTCATAATCGGCCAAAATAAACGGGAAAACGGGATATTGCATGAGATCATTAAAGGATCGACCTGAGATTTTGTTCAAATGGGTCAGATATTCAAAGTTGGTCATTGATCCTTCTCGCCACATTTGCGCTATGGTGGAAAGATTTTTTTCCTCCGTCAGGTTGGCCAAGGTTCGCATGTACAAAATTTTGAGAAACTCATCACAGTTGAACTTGTTATCGAATGATATTAAATATGATGAACCATTGGTTAGAAACATTTCGAATGCGTTATTTTGTAATTGATATCGACACGGGTGGATCTCTTTGATTTCTTCAAAAAGCCAAACTTCCGTAAAAACAGTTGACTCCGAATAAGCGGTTTTCTGTTCACCGACAAAATGAATACAACTTGAACCTATCAGAATTTCACCTGGATATTCAACAGCGGGAGCGATGATGGTACACGAAGTTGTATAAAGAATCCGCTCATTTGTGTAAAGACGATCAATAAGAGCGGTGAAATCGGATTCATGAAGATTCTTCTGAAATAAATAGGCTAAATTTTTGTCCAAATACTTAGTTCTCTGTCGAGGTTTTTCAGGCGAGTCACAGAAAAATTTACTAGGAATATCAAGATGACATCGGCGAAGACGTCGACGGACTCTCATCGGACCTTCAGTCGGATCAAGTTCCCAAGAGTGTAAGTAAGAATCAGGATAATACCAAACGGCTCTTTCATGGGTAAACATTTCAATCAACGATTTCCAATCTTTATGAATAGAATATCTTTCAGAGGAAAGATGTTTCAAATGATTGATGAACACTTTACGCTCTTGGTTTTGAGCTTCAACGGCATCACGAGTTATACCTTGAGCGTTTTCAATTACCTTATGAGATAAGGATCGAAGTCGCTCAAGAGAAACATCATCTTGTTGACTGTTGATTAAAGCATTTTTCTCACGATTCCATTCGGCAAACCATTCACCGATCTCACGTTTGGAAAATTCTGTGGTCAACATTCGCTTATTAGGATTGTTACCGATGGGATTAATTCGAAGAAGATCACGAACTAGTTCGGTACTTTCAGTGTCTTCACATGAGATGAGCAGATCTTTTAGGAAAGATTCCAGTAAAGTGGCAAATCGATTATTAACCCTAAGCAGAAGGGACAAATTTTCGGCGTTCGTTTTCAGAAAAGAGACATAATAAAGTCTCTCCGAAGTTGCTTGTAACGGTGAAAGTAGAAACAAGATGAGTCGGTATAGTTCATATCGAATGGCCTCTTTCGATGTTCCCATGAAACTGTTCAAAATTGATCGACGTCGTTTATTAGCCGGTCCTTTCTTATTTAAATCTAGAACTTGAAATATACGATGTAACAATGATCGAGCAAAAAACTTTTCCTTTTCTGAAATGGCAAGATCATTATCTAAAAATAAAAGGACACAAAGGTAAACAATTAGTGAAAAAATGAATGATAAATCAATCAAAACATTATCAATTAAACAACTCACCTCTTAGAATGAGAAAATCAACCGATTTAAAGATTAACTTTTTAAATCTATCAATTAACTCAGAATTAGAGACATGACCTTTGTTTACGTTTACCATTTCAGGTTCAGTTGGATAATTTGATCGACTTCGAAGGGAACTGTAAGTTGACATGGAAGCGGAATCAGCCATGAGGCCAGAATTATGGGAGGCCAGGTAGGTCTCATCTGATGGAGAAAATAGGTTGAAGAATTTCTCTGATTTGTTGAGTGCTAATTCGATGATAACAATTAAATTATCACAAAGAAGGGAAGGAGATAGGAGGTTAAAAGACATAAGTGAGAAGACGCTTTTGATTTTTTTTTGTCAATATAAAGAGAGAAAGAAAATGAAAACGATCAAACATTCACATTAATAATTACCTTTCATTAATTTTGATCGATCATCCCAATTTCTGATTAATTCTGTTAAATGAGCACCGATAACATCATGAGCTGCTTCAAATAGATAAACTAGTGATTCTCTAAACCAATTACGATGACCATAAGTTGCTGATTTCCTTTCCAATGAAGATAATTGATTAAGAGTTTGAAGGAAAAGATTCCAATTAGTTGATCCATTTGATTCAAATAAATTTCGACCAATTGAAGAGATAATCTTTAAAAGATCATTTATTATCACATCATCTTCATAACCATCGATAGCATCAGTTTGACCAGAACGATGTTTATCTGCATTGAAAAGGGTTTTAGTTAAACATTCAATGAAACCAATTTCGTGTAAATATTTCATCATTGGACTGGAAAGCGGAAGATCCTCGATAAACTTGAGCAAGGCCACTAACGAGGTATGACAAAGGTTAACATCACCCACCGAATTGGGTAAAAGTGCAAATAGAAGGAGAAATGAGCTCCAATGATCAGCTGTGAGTTTATAAATTTCCGGTGGTGGAAAATTTTCCTCAAAAGTGTATCTCTCATCGGGCCTTATATAACTAATAAAAGCAAATGCTTGATTGATTAGATTAAAAGTTGCCGGATGAGAGTGAAGTTGATTAGCAACTAAATGAAGACCATAACGAGATAAGAATGAGTTAATTATATCCAATCCTTTACCTCGTTTAATACAGCAAAGTAAAGTTCGTAAAACTGATTCACGAATTTTATCAGAATCAGAGTGACACAGGATAACCAATACTCCAGGACGGACAATGGGACCAATTATTTTATCCAACATTGTTTCAGATGTTTCCTCAATTATATCACCAATCATATCAATTAAACCTGACATAATCATACAGTAAACAGTTTGCTGATCAAATAAAATCTCATCACCACCATAATCATCATTATTAATATCTGATCGTATGCCACCTCCATTGTTACTGATGTCACGATTTTTGGAATCCCAATCATTGTTAATCAATTGATTTGATCGACCCGGAGATTTATCGTTGATTGGTAATCGTTTCTGTTGTTGCTGTTGTTGTTGTTGAAGTTGCTGCTGTTGATTAGATTTCCAATTAACTGGTAGTAAATAGTAAAAGCTACTCTTTGAATGACAAATGTAAGTATTTGATGCTTGGTGAAGTAAAAGTAACGTGTCGAATACATCATTTAAAATAGATAGATCAAGTGTCGAGGTGGTAATTAGTGCTTTCGTTAAATCAGGTAAAATACGAGCAACGTCATAAGGTAATGGTAAATTATTGTCATCCATTTGAACCAGAGTATCTTTTAACATGGTTAATAGTATATCGATAATGTGAGCTCTTCTCATTTGAAGAATATTAAATTCACGGTGTTCGTTTACCGGTGAAATTAGATCAAGTAACATGGTTGTGAAACAATTAATTGTCTCTGATTTTCTATGCCAAGCTCTCCATGAAGAGATAAGATGAGAAAATGCTATGGAATCGGTGATTATAGCTTGTTTTGTATCGCAACTGGAAAGGCAGTAATTAATGTATGGAGAATAGATTTTACAAGAAATTGAACAATTTGAGGTAACCAGGATTGAGTTAATTAAACGGAAACCATTAAATTCAAAGGCAAATAATAACATTAACTCATATTGAGTTTCACAGACTCGCAATAAAATGTCCAATGCTCGAGATTGAATCTCAGGGTTAGATGTTATCTCAACCATTTTGGCAAAGAAAAAAATCATTGCACCAATACCACCAATATCGACTAATGCTTTACTTAAATGATTATCTTGATTACAATTTATCTCGGCAAAAATTACCAATGGATGTCGGTTAACTTGAAGAGTATTGGAGATCTCAGTTGAACTTGAACGTGGAGTAAATGAGATGAATGATGATTCGGAAGGCATTGATGTGTACATAAGGTAATGGTAACTTAAATTGGCCTTAAAGATGATAAATATTGACTCTTGAAGATCGTTGAAACAAGTTTTAGGCGTTAATTTGGCATAAATGTCCAGAATTGTTTTATTCAGGTTAATATACTTTGGTATTCGTAGGGTTTCCAGTTTGGCTTCTAATTCGGGAATCTGGCAAACCTGAAAGGTACAAAAATCAGGCCCCATTGCGTAAAGGTAAAGACAATGTTCAAGGGTTAATTCACGTTTAAAGATGATCACATTTGCCATTTTAATGGAACAATTTGATGGAAAGGGTTTCGTTGAACCTAAAAGGAAGCAAGTTCGAGAATTTAAGGCTGGACATCCATGGTGAAGTGCGATGGTTTCAGTTTGCGATCCATTGATTATATAATTTACCATGAAAGCGGCTTCACTTGATGAATGAGCTTTAAGCTCAGTAAAATTGAAACAAACATGATGCCAAGTGTGATTAAAGTTTAGATGACATGGATTGGAAACTTGAGCGATAACACAAGATTTACCAGAAAGGGTGTGTCGAAGAGTTCGAAGGATAAACATTCGTTGATCTTGATCAATCCATATTTCGATTGATATTTTATCAAGACAAAAGGTAAATAGATGATACCAATCATCGTATGATTTAATTTTTTGAACTGATACAAGTCGATCTTTGGAAAATCGAGTTGCAGATAAGTTTGAGGATGAAGATGAAGGACCAATCGAAAGCCAAAGAGTTAAGGAAAATTTTCTATTCTTGAAAAGTGATATGTTTTTACTGGATGGTAAAGGTAAACAGAGAGCAGCCGTTGACCAGCCTGTTGGACCATTGTCCGGTTTAACATCGGCTCGTAAATCATAAACCCATTGAATAGAGGGAGAAGGTGAAGATGTTGTTGTTGTTGTTGTTGAAGATGTTGAAGTGGAAGGCAAGTTTGTTGATTCGGAGAGAGATCCTAAATTTTTCAAGGGTTGAACAGGAAAGGTTAGTGAAAAGGTGGGTCCAAAGGATGATTGTTCCACCAAATTTATTAGAATATCAACTGATTTATCAAGAGGAGATGATTTATCTTTCAATAAGGTGAATAATTGGCACAATTCCTTGCCCGAAATTGGTTTACTTAAAATAGTCGTCGCCAATTTGAGTAACTCTTGTTCCAATTTATTATTAAGATCATTAGACTCATCAACGGTAGTTAAAATGGGTGTTAAACCTTCCAAGGTGAGACCAGTTGATTCATTTGTTTCCATGATAATCTTTAATTTCCTTCTTGTTCTCTTTTAATTATTTTTTTTTTCGTTTTGTTTATAAAAAAATAAACAGATCAAAGAAACAAGTAGAAAAAGAAAAACAAAATGGAGATGATCTTTAACCAGTGGACTTTTTCAAATTATCCAGTGATGGAGAGAAAAGAAATTTTAAACAATTCACAGAGACACTTTTCCTTTGAACAGAAAAAAAATGAGAAGTAGAGTTTACTCATGAAAATAATTAGTAATTAATTCTATTGACGATTGGAAATAAAACAAGTGATCAGATTTGGTGAACATACAAGTTGATTAACCAAAAGAGAGATGAAGCAAAAAGGGAGACACAGATAAACAAAGAGAAAGAGAATGTTTCAGATGAAAGATTTTGACACAATTGAAAATTACAAAATACAAGGTAAAGAAAATTAATAATAAAACGAAAAAAAAGAAACCAAATTAATTACACAGAGATAGATAATTGTTGTGCGCTGTTTCGGCGTCTTTACCATTGTTTTAATGGTCTTTGGAGAGGCTCGGCTGAGTTTTCGTTTAGACTGGATTAATTTGAATTTGTAGTCCAACAGTTTTTAATTATTTGAAAGTAGTGCGTTTCATATTCCAATTGTTAATTATTTTAGATACTTCTTTACATTTAATTAAATGTTCACAATTGTTTATCTTATTACATTGTTCACAAAAATTTCCTCTTAACAATCTAATCGATGTTATTGTTTGGATCATTAATATAGGGTTTTTATAGTGATCATTTTCTTGAAAGAATCTGGAGCCATTGGGAAACATGATTTTCAAATAGCGAGGCCCATAACGTGAGTAAATTAATGTTTGTATTATTTTAAATTTATTAATTAATTTTCTTTTGCAGCTCTTTATTGTATCTACTTCATATTTGATGTCTCTTATTTCAATCGTATCAATACATGAGCTGTTACCCTTTTTGATTCTGATATTGATTGTTTTTTCTTCGGCGAGTCCATTCAGATATTCATTTAGCTTTATTTTTGTTTTGCTGATTGTTATATCAATATCATATTGTTTGAAAAGCTCATTAATTTGATTAACTATAGATAAGTAAGTTGTTATTCCTGTAAATTTATAGTGATAATGTTTTGTTTCTGTTAAAATTGTGTATCTTGCACATATCAAATTTCCTTCTTTAATTAAATCTAATGGTATTGTTATTTTGTTTTTAAATTTTAATTGACTCTTTCTTTTTCTAATTATCTTTGTCTTTTTTAACAGATTCATAACTGGAAATATGTTTTCATTTAATTGTTTACTTTTAATTAGTGTAATCAATTCGGACATGTAAGCTATCGCTGGATTTCGGATACCAATTATCTCTCCAAACCAAAAGCTAATGCGTTGTTTTCGGTAAACTTCGGTGAATGTTTTCTTTAGTCCTTCTTGAATGAGTGTGCAAATGGTTTCTAGATAATTATTATTGTTTCTAAAAATTGATGTACCTAGATAGTCCATCGAGGAATTTGTAAATGAGTTAAGTATGTTTATAAACTTTTTAACCTTAAGCATTTTAATTATTCTGATTGTTTGATCGTTAAGATGTTTAAAGTTTGTTTTGTTTTCTTTAATGATAGAGTAGCCTACCATTTTAGTGTTTTTAATTAGTTTTGAGTCTATTTGTATTTCTTGTATCTTATTAATGTTTATCTTTAGGTTCAGTTTTTGTAATTTGTCCTCCATTTCTTGTATTATAGAGCTTTTATTTCTATTTGTAAGTATCAACAAATCGTCTGCGTACCCATATGCTCTTGTATCATTTTGATTCATTTCTCTCAAAAAGGTGTCCATCCCTATACAGAAAAGTAGAGGTGACAACGAAGTTCCTTGCAATAGAGCACCTTTTTCTTCAATTATTTCAAATTCATTGTTTTCAACTATTCTAGTTTTTCTCCCGTCAAAGAAATCATTAATCAGTTCGACTGTTTGTTCGTTCATTGATTTAGATATTTTGATTATTATCTTATCTTTATCTATTTTGTCAAAAGCTTTTTCGACATCGAAGAGAAAAGCATTTTTGTAGTTGTCTCTTTCCTCTTCAAATTTAAGTAAAAAATCTAATCTATTTTTATCTTCAAGGAAAGCAAATTGTAAATCACAATCGATGATTTCATCAATTTTTGTTTTTATTCTTTCAGTTAATATTTTGTCAATAATCTTTACAAGATATGATTGACATCTAACCAATCTAAAATCATTGTTTGATTTAGGTATTTTGATGCCCCCACTTATTTTTAGAATTTCCGGTATTTTCCCTGACCTGAAAATTTCATTAATTAATTGGATAATTGTTTTGCAATTTAATTTCTTGAAAAGATTCCATTTCTTATATGTAAAATCATCTGCGTAAGACGAGGAGCATTTAAAATTAGTTTTAGTTATCAATTTGATTTCTTCTTCATTTAAACCTTGTAAATATTTTGTATTATTTTTCTGATATGGATTTTTGGGGAAAAGGTTAATATTCAGTTTTTTGTATGTGAGAAAATCAGATATCTTCCGTTTCTCATTCATTTCTTTTATGTAATGGTAAATATTTACTTCACTCATATTGTTAATTTTTCTCTCTTTTTTATTTCTTTTATTCTTTTTCTTGATTGTGAATCTATTAATTATCGGAGAGATCAATATATCTCTTGTTGTTTCTTCTATATTCTTATATCTTATTTTTCTGATTTTGAAAGAGGAATTCGTAAGGTTAAATTTCTTATTTTCTTGTATCTCAATGACAAATTTTATTATTCGGTGATCACTTATTTCTGATGAGAACATTTTATAATTGGATAGATTTTTAAAATTAGTTAAAATTATGTCAATAATGGTATCATTGGTTTTACCTTTTCTTGTGAAGTCCTTCTTTCTATCCTTTCCTATTATTGAGTTGAATTTTAGAGCCTCAATTAAATCCTCGAAAGATCTAAAATCATTTAGTTGTCCATTGCCGAACCTTCTTGGGTTATCGCACCAGGTTACACTTTCGGCGTTAATATCGCCCACTAATAAGATTGGAAATTCTATTAATTCTTGAATAATTTTCATTAAATTTTGATAGAAATCCATGTTTAATTTTTCAGAACGATAGATTGCGATTATCCATAGGAAGCTTTGTTTGTTTTTAATTAATGAGACAATAATGTCTTCGTAGTTTCTGAAGTTTTTGATTATCTTAATGTCTTTTCCAGCACAGATAGCTACCTTTCCATTTATTGTTATATTTTTCGTTTCTTCTTGGAAAGTATCGTTTATTTCAGTCATTATTAAAGTGTAGTCCTTTCTCTCACTTTGTAATTTTATTAGTTGTTTAGTTGTTGAATTATTTCTTCTCACATTTATGTATAAGAAATTCATTTTACTCGATCTCAATTAAGGGAATAATTTTAAGTTTTGTTGTGAAAATTTTGATAATTAATTTCCGGCACAGTGGACAATGTTTAAAGTTTTTTGTTAGATTAGTATAACACAAAGCACAAATTAAATGTTTACAATTTAGTCTGATGTATTCATATTTGTATCTATTTATCTCTTCTAAACAGATTGGACACATTTTAAAGCTCCTCCTTTTGGAACAAGTGATATAACTAATCGTTTTTATTTTTGTTGATCATTTAACAGTTAACTTTCAAAAGTAATGGCTCCCAAGAGGAAAAGAAACAATGTTCCAACTCCCCCTTTGGATGAGGTTGAAAAGATTCTTCACGATGATAATGTTTACGATTTTGATAGTTGTTTTTCAATTGTTTCGAAAATGATGATAGATTATCCTGACAATGATTTGTTCAGTCAGATGTTATTAATTTATGGTGAAAATGATTTTGTCGAAATAGTTGATATTTTAAAGAATTTCAATTCAAATCCTGATAATTATCTTGGTGCTGATGATGATGTGCAAGTTACTGTACAAAGTTTTCTGTTGCGACATGAACATTGGTGTAATTCTGAGGAAGAAGCCGTCTCTTTATCTAATCCTGTACCCATTAATCCTACTGATCGGGTAAATATTCGTTATTCAAATAAGGAAAAGTTCCCAGATACATGGTTGAACGTTGAAAATATTCGTATTCTTCCTACTCTTCTCATATTTGGTAAAGATAAAGGTAAACGTGGAAGCGAGATTCGTTTGGATTTGACTAATCTATTTTTAAAAATAGATTGCTCTCTTTTGATTAGTGAAATTGGAATTGGTCATTTCTGCCTTAAAGTTGTCTGTGAAAGTGTTCATGCTCGTTCTCAGCTTCAGAAGACTTTGGAGGAAAACGAAGAGTTTTCCCGTTCTCATTTGGTGAAGATCCCGGAGTTACATGATCCCTTTTTGAGAGTTGAGCAATTTCCAATCTCTTCCACCGATGAAAAGGAGCTTTCGAAATTTCTAAACGATTGGGCTTCCAATTTGGTTCAGTGGAATCACTGGCCTAAGGATTCTCGAGTAATTTGGAAAACTTCTATTAAAACTCGAATTGGTTATCGAATTATTATCCAAGTTGATTCCAGGATTCGAACTTTGGTAGAGGAAAATTTAGGTTACATCAGGACTCCTTTTGGCAAATTCAGGGCTTTGGATCATTTTTCTCTGGTTATTTGTGACAATTGTTGCTTCTTTGGTCATCGAAAAAGTAATTGTTTTAATTTACCTATTTGTTGTTATTGTGGTAAGAATCATCCATCTAAAGGTTGTTCGTTAAAGAATGTAAAGGATTCTTCTTTATTTTATTGTAATAATTGTAAAAGAAGTGGTCATAGCGTTTTTGATCGTTCTTGTTCTGTTTATTTGAAAAACTTAAGAGTTGAATTAGAACGAGTTAATCACAAATTTGTTTATGTAATGGTTTGATATATTTAAATGATCAACAATGGCATTGCTTTTTCCTTCGGAGTTTGAAGGTTTTTTATTGCAGCCTTTTACTTTGATCCTAATTCTAATAAAGTTCATAATTGGCGCTTTAAGTTAATTTCTGTTTTAAATGTTTTAAGCTTTCCTATCTTTTGGTAAATTTGAGTTGAGTGAATAATCTATTATAAAAGATTTATTTTCATCATGAGTAATTCCGTTTTTTCTGTGTGTAAATTGTCTAATGGTCTTATCTCTTTTGATGTTCGTGCTATTGTTAAAAAGAAGATCCTTATATTGAAAATGATGTCAAGGAACAAATTTCAAGGTCCACATGTAATTCAGTCTCATCTCAGCAACTTTATTGGTTCACTTACTGTACCCTATTCAATTGGTTATGATTGCCTAAAGTTATCTTTCATAACTGATGAGGATCGTGATCTTTTTAGGAAGCGTATAGCTCATGTGAGTGAAGTAATTGTAATCGAGCCTCATCTCCTGAGACCCATGATAAAATTGTTGATTCCTCGTAATCAATTTGATGATTCATTTGTTTACTCTAAAGAATTGGTTAATGTCCTGATCTCTTCTAATCCCATATTTGAAGCTGTTGAACTTGAGATTGACTTTATTTTTCGTGGTGAGAAAAATTATTATATACTTTTAAGTGTCGACAAACAAGTTCGGGCCCAGTTGGATTTGGTTGAAAATACTCTGAATATTAATGGTACCCCAGTTTCTTTTGTTGATAATTTAAATATACGAATGTGTAAGAATTGTCAAAGATATGGTCACAATCTCCGCAATTGTCGTAGGGAGCGTCGTTGTGTACGGTGTTTATTGAATCATGGACAAAATGAGTGTAAAGTTTTTCGGGTCCATGATAGTCAATGTGGAGCTTGTGGTGCTTTAGGACACACTATCCGTTCCATTTTATGTGTAGAGTTTCGGACGCAATTGCAAAAAGCTTTAGAGAGGATTGACTACAACTATAATCATGTAGTTTTTGAGGAGGATTTTTTTGAAAAAACCGCTTTAAATTGAGAAGGAAGTTGTGATTAAGAAGGTTAAGAAAAATTTCTATTCGGATACGTAGCCATTTTGTGTCTGCTACTCCTCGATTGTCTTTGAAAATTAAAATTGTCTCCTAAAATGTCTACAATGTCTTGTTTCCCTATTTATTTCTATCTTAAAGAGTCAATTTATATTTGTGAATCTTTATTAAAGTCTGTAATAGTAGCTGCTAATGATCATGATGAGAGTGTAATACTTGAATGTGAAAGAATTTCTTGTGATACAGGTACCCTTGTATCATTGGTTGTTACCAAGAGATTTCGACTCTATCTTAGTTCTGTGGACATGATAATGATAATCAAAGGTGAAATGGTACCAGTTTTTGATCATTTTGATTCATATTTCTCTTACAACAAGTTCCCAGAAAATATTGGTTTGTATAATCAACAGATTGGTCTCGATTACTTGTATATTGAGGTTTCTAGTCCCCCAGAAGATGGGGTTCCTTTTGATCTATTCGAAGGGGAGATATATCGTTTAAAAATGTCGTTAAATTAATTTTCATGTGAAATCGCTGGTTAACAATGGCCTCCCGGAAGTGTAAAAATTTTCTAGTAGTGCCATCTATGAATCGAATATAAGTTTAACCGGAAATATGAAGTTTTCTTTTGTTCTCTTGCAGTTACAACATACATACATCAATTTCTTTTATTTGTGAAATAATTTGTTTAAATATTTTGTTTAATTTTCAATTCTTAATTATTATTTAGTTAATTTGTGTCCCTTTCAATGGATTTACTAAAAAATATTAAGCTTAAAATAAGAGCTTCAGGAATTTATACCTATTGGATCTTGAAGCCTCGATTCCGTGGTCACACCAATAATTTGAATCTGTTTCTCAATAGGATTAAGGCTGATTCTGAAATCTACACTTGGATTTGTGTAACTTCTTTAATTGAAATTGTTGAGGGTGGTGTAAGAATTTGTATTTATCGATCATCAATTCAAAGATTTCGAAGACTTTGTCGCCAAAGAAGATACATTCGTTTATTGGTCCGAGATGTAATTAAAGATTTGGAAATCTTTTTCTATAGACCTGTTAGTTTAACTTCCGATGAGAGGATTTGCCAGTTACTTGCTGATTATTTTGGTTTTGATTTTCAATCATTTTGTTACAAGGAGAAGTTGGTTTTCAATGGAAGAGAGATCTTGGTTGTTAAGGTCAGTCGACCAGTGATGAAAAATTTATTGTCATCAAGTAAGTGTTTCTTTTCATTTGATTATTTATAAAGATTCTTTTATTCTAATTTTAATTTTGTTTAATTTTGAGCAGAGATGGTTGGTTCTTTTGACGAAAAAGAAGTTCAACTCTTCAATCATGTTGGATTATTCAATTGTAATCTCTGCAAAGGAAGGTTTACTATCGGACATTCATGTGGTACAATTCGTAATTGTCATATTTGTGGTCGGCCAAGGCATATTGGTGATTGTCGACGAACTGGAATTCGCGATTGTACCTCTTGTAATTTTGCTCATAACCGAGATCTTGGTAAATGTAACACTTTGGTTAAGTGTATATCGTTCTTTGGCCAAATGTGATTTCACCTTCAACTATATTTACCTGGATTATTTTTATGATGTTTAAGTTTTAGATCATTCTGACCGATATTGATTCAGTTAAGATTTCTAAATTGTAACAGATGAGTCGGACAGTAGTTTTCCTTACTTACTCATTTTGATTTAATTTCCTTTGAGAAAAATTTTCTTTTAGTAAATATCATTCATAATTAATGGTAAGAATAAAAATGATCCGGACGAATCTAATTTGTCAAAACTATCTTTATTTGGCAAAAAGGTTATAATCTTGAATTAAATTCTTCTGGTCATGATTTCAACACCATCGTGATTTATCATTGCCACAAATTCGTTGTCGGTGTCGATGTGAACGTTTTCCCTTGTTCTGAAGTTCGGTACTCCTTGGACTATGAACTCGTTTTCCATTAGGTAAACCAATAGACGAAATTGTCTGTAGAGATTGTGTTTATTCACCCTGACCATCACTTCACATTTAAGTCCCGTAACTTTTAACCAAGAATCATCACATTCGAAAATTGGTAAATTAATTGTTTCACCTTCAAATATGATAAGTATTTCACTGTTTTTAACATTAATCAACAGTTTTTGGCTTACGAAAAGCATTTTCACTTTTTAAGAAAAGTAGTCAACCGATAGATAATTAATTAAATCACAGAATAAAAATAAAAACAATCTCTTATTGAGATTCTCATTAAGAGAGAAACTTAATCTTGAGTAACCATGACAACGGAATGTAAATAATCGCCACTGTTGCCATCTGGTGAGTGAATTTCGAACCATTTTATTTTTGTCAAATTTTAGTTTAATTGTTTCTCTTTTTACAAAATTAACTGTAGTTAATTAGTTGAAGGAAAATTTACAGAATAAAATATACAATCAAGGGGTTGGTTAATTACGTCGATCTTTTCTATCGGTTCTTTCTCTGCTTCGATCTCGGCTTTTTTTCTTTTCCTTTTATGTTTTTCTCTTTTTTCTCTTTTTTCATTTTCTTTTCTTTTTTCTCTTTCTTTTTTTTCTTCTTCATCTTTTCCAATTGTTTCATTAATCTTTTCTGATCTTTTTCGATAATAAATCCAATGGTTTCATTTCTTTACCACCGAGAGTTGATTTTTCTAAACCATGTTCAGGTAATGATGAGGATGAGGATGATGGTAGAGTTGTTGTTGTTGATTCTGCTAAAGGTTTAGATTGAAATATTTCCGATCCACTTGCGAAAACTGGACACTCACGATCGGTATTCACGTGGCCCCATTGTTGACATTTAATACAGCGAACATTTCTAACCGGAATTCCAAAAGGTTGATCATGAATATCTTGATTGTTTTTGGCGAAACTTTCTCTGGGTGCATTTCTTTGCCATTCAAATTTGAATTCAGGTTCATCATCTTCACGAGTTTTCTCCCTTTTAGCTCCTGGAGGTGCTTCATACATGAAATTAAGAGACAATTTCTCCTTACTCTCAGTAGAAACCATCAATCGATTATTGTATAAATCTTGTTCCTTTTCATATTGTAACCTTAACTCTTCCTCCCTTTGTTTCTCATTAGCAGCCTTTTGTTCAGCAATCCAAACCTAAAAAAACAATTAAAAACACAACAAAAAAACATAAATATAATCTTAAAAATAAACAAAATACATCAAATCTACAATTCAAATCAATCAACAAAAAAAAACAACACAGAAAATGAAATGAAAAAAAAACAGAAATTGACAAAATAATCTTACCCTTTTAATATTGTCTCGAGATCCAGGATGAAATGGTTTCTTACACATGAAGTTAGTATATCCTTTACCCATGATTAGATTAATCAATTAATCAAGAAAGAAGAAAAAAAAATTAAAACTGAGACAATTAAATTAAAAAGACCAAAACAATCAACAACAAAGCCTCAAAAAAAAATCAAATAACAAAAACTGAACTTTAAGTGAAAATAACTAACACTTTTTCTGTGAGAATAGCACATAGTCTATTCATCGAGCAATTTTCGATTTCGATTGATCTTTGAGATCACTTGGTCGATTTGTGATCTATTTCTGTCAATTTTAGAGAAAATGTTCAAGTTAATTGTTACAGTTCATTAAAATAAGATAAACAATTGTAATTAGAAAAAAATAAAACATTTCCGGAGATTTTAATTATGATAAAATCGTAATTATTAAAGGAAGAAAATTATATTCATTAGTAAGAAATTGGCAAGTTTAGTTAACCGGATCAAGTAAAATCTTTTAATTGTAATTAAATTATTGTAATTGTTGTTTAATTAATAAAGTGAATATAATTTTCAGTGGTAATATCGATCATTGATTTAGATTGATTAGTCGGTGAAAGTGATAAGCTAATTGTGCTTTGGCTTAATTGTCTACAAATCTTTTTCAATTTTTAATTGTTGTGATTTTTAATGTAATTTTTACATTACACTTGTAATTTAATTAATTTGTCATAGTTAAATTATTGTAATAGCATAACAAACTATACAAGGAATTAATATCTAATAATTTGAGAATCAATTTGATCGGTAAATCTAATTGTGATTAATTGTTGGGATAATCAAATTGTTTACTGTTCCTTGTTGAATATTAGTTTTAAACTAAATTGTCAAATAAATCAATGGTCAAATTTAATGAAATAATTAACTGGATCAATAGCTTAATCATTAATTTTCATTAAAACTGGTTAATCAGATGTCTATCAGGTGAACAATTAACAATCGCCAGCGAAAATTTTTAAATTAAATCCCAATGAGATGAAGTTAATTCACCACAATCAGTTGATTCAGTTTTCAAGTTTTACTCTGATTAACAATCAATATTAACAATAAAAGTGAATCTTTTCTAAACATCTAATTGTAAAACTAAACTCTTCTAAACGATGACAATTAAGAAAACTAAATCACCGACAATTGTGATTACCGGATTATCAGGTAAATTTCCGCAATCAGATAATCCTGAGCAATTATGGGAAAATTTAGTCAATGGGAACATCTTATATCAACCTGATGAGTTTAATTATCCTAAAAGTAAGTTAATTAAAACAAAACCTAAAGAAAAAATTAAAGGTCAATCAGATAGTAATTAGTTGATTGTACTTTCTATTCCCGTTAATTGTTGATTAGTTTTCACTAAAATTCCCAAATCAAGAGGAGCTTTGAAAGATACATCAAAATTTGATCATCAATTTTTTGGTTATGATCGTAAATCAGCTAATTGTTTGGATCCACAATTAAGGATTTTATTGGAAGTTGTTTATGAATCACTTTGGGATGCAGGTTGGTTGTAATTAATAGTAGTTAATTGTTAAAATTTTCTGTTGGAAATTGATAAAATCAACTGAATTTACAATTACAGGAATTGCACCAGAAAATTGGTCCGGTTCGAGGACGGGATTTTATTTGGGCTCATCGTTTGAAGAGACTGGACTAACTGTCCGTTCAATGGACTCGTCGATTGACCTGGGGCAACATTTTTCCTCTCGTGTGTCTCATCATTTCAATTGGACTGGTCCAAGTATGATTATCGATACTGCTTGTGCGTCCAGTTTAAATGCTCTTGTCGAAGCCTATTATGGCCTAATGAACGGAACCTGTGATCAGGCCGTTGTGGCAGGAATATGTCTCCATGTTAAACCAAGTGTAACAATTTGTTTCGGTGAACTGGAAATGCTTTCAAAATCAGGTAAATCAAAGTGTCTCGATCAATCAGCCGATGGTTATATCCGTTCTGAGGCCATAACGGCAATAGTGCTACAGAAAAAACCCCAAGCCAAAAGGATTTATGGTCAAATTTTAGGAATGGCAACAAGTTCCGATGGTTTTACAAAAGAGGGTATAACTTACCCGTGTCGTCAGGTACAAACGGCAACCATGAAATTGGCCTTGCAAAGATCAGGTATCGACCCACTGAACGTAAATTACGTTGAAGGCCATGTTACCGGAACAGCAGTCGGTGATCCCATTGAAACCTCGGCCATAATTAACGCTTATCGAGGGTCCAATGTAAACAAACCACTGATCATCGGGTGTCTAAAGGGTAACATAGGTCACTCGGAAGCGTCGGCGGGTTTATGTGCACTCATCAAGTCGCTGAAAATATTTCAAAATTCATTGATTCCCATGAACATCGGTATGGACACTCCCAATCCTCGAATCGATTCCCTGAGAGAGGGACAATTAATTACACCGAGAGTTAATCTCCCATGGGATGGATCAATCATCGGAATCGATGCCTTCGGGTTCGGTGGGTCAAACACTCATTGTATCATCTCTGCTTCCGATAAAAGATCACCGGAAATGACCAGTGGTCAATCAACCAATCGACGGTTAATTTGTCTCTGTAATCGTAATCGTAATGGTTTAAAAGGTATGATTAAATTTATACAATCAACTGATTGTTCAATTCTTGGTGAATGTTTAACTTTAATTGATTCAATTGCCGTTGAGACAACAATTAAAAGTGCTATGGACTGGAGAGGTTATTTAATTGTTTCAAATGATGATACTAATTGTTTACCAGTTATCGTTAATGAAGAGATGAAACAATTAACAAATTGTACACCGATTGTTTTAATCTTTGATCATGGTAACAATTCAATCAATTGTTATACTGATTATGAGACAATCAATTGTTACCTTTCAAGAGCAATTAACTCTTGCTTTGATTATTGTTCCTCTAATGGATTTGATAGAAAAGTGATTAGCAAAGATGCAACAATTAATTTGATTATTTATCAAATTTGCTGGGCTGATTTATTGGTTCATCGTTGTAAAATTAAACCAAAGTTAATTGTTGGCTCATCATTTGGCTCGATTGCTGCTTCTTATGCAGCTAAACAAATCACTTGGACTGATTGTCTTAAATCACTGATTAACTTTATTAAATTGCGACAAAAAAATTCATCTTCAACTGATGATGGAAACAATTTACAGCAACAATTAGAATCACAATTAACAAGAAAAATTAATCTCAATGAGATAATCAAAAATTATCAAAAAGATTCAAATATTTTCGCTCGTTTAGTTAATGATGACAATCAGTTAATCAATGATAACAATTTAAATGATTACATTTTGTTAAATGTTTCAAGTTCAATAACAAGTATAACTATTGGTCAACAAAAGTGTTGGTCAGTTGATGGTCAAGAGATGAAACCAATCATGATGAATGATATTCTGACAATTTTTGGCAATCTTTATCTAACTGGACACAATCCCGATATCAGAGTGTTGACCAACACTCAACAACTACCGGTCAGTTCAAGTTGTCCAAGTTTAGGTCATCTGATTAACTGGAACCACGAGTTAACCTTTGATACGATTGTTTATCCAGATTTTTTCCGTGATTCTTTTCACACTGTTCACAGAATTGACCTGATGGATCCTGAATACTCTGATCTATCTGGATACTCGGTTGAAGGTCAAACAATTTGTCCAATCTCATGTTACATTTGGGTCATTTGGGATCATCTGGTTAAATTAAGATCAACTGACCAACGGCATCGATATAATTCATTTGAGATAAATAATTTAATTGTTCACAAGTTAATCAGCTTATCAGAGCCAATTGAACTTCGAGTAGTGTCCAATCCTGATAATGGTCAGTTCACAATTAAATTAGCAGCTGATTACCAACCAATAGTGACCGGATGGGCAACAATTCAAACGGTGACCAATAACAATCTCGGTTCATTTGACTATTCAGTTTATCTGGACAGTAAAGGTCAATCAAATGGCAATCAGCTGATGACCAATGGTGATGACCAGTCAAATGATATTATCCTAACATCGGAAGACTTTTACTTTGACCTTTCCATAAGAGGTTGGAGGTCAAGTGAATCGTTTAAAAATGTGACCACTTTCCGATCAGATGGATCCCAGGCAACAATTAAATTCACCGGAAATTGGATAACTTTTTTTGAATCAATTCTAATCACTCCCTTACTACTGGACACTAATGACTCATCAATGGCCATCCCGATGAAACTGGACTACTTCCGGTGTGACCCATTGATCCTCAATGAAGGACTTAAAGTTCAACGTAAATCTGGTTCTCAGAATGGATTCACTTTCAACCTTGACCAATGGTCATCGATAATTGTTACCTCAGGATTGATCACTCGATTTCCTGATTATCAACTGGTTCCATTTGATTTAATTACTCCTGAACTTCATTATCGTCATCAACAATTTTTACCTTTAATCAGTGGATTACAATTAAGCAATCAAACAATCAAATCAACCATGAAATTTATTACAACAATTAACTCACAATTAGTTGGGAAAACAAATCAATCGGATTCAAAGTTGATCCAGTTAATTTCATCGATAATTAAATCGGATGATATTAAATCAACTTTGATAAAATCAATTGATTATCTTGATTGTTATTTTGAAAGTGAATTAATTGCAAACATTTGCTCTGATTTAATGACAATTAACTTGGGATTATTTGAGGAAAATTGTTCAACCGGATTATTGACAATTAATCAAATTGGTCGGATCAATGGTCACTCTTATGATACTAATTGTGATCAAACATTTCGTAAGATCCGTAATCGTTATAAATACAATTTGATTGAAAAAATTGATTCTAATTCAATTTCATCAGCTGATTTAATCATTTACAATCATCCATCAATGGGAATATTTAATTCAATCAATCAAAGTGAAGACGATCAACAGTTAATTGCTAATTGTAAGTCAATGAGCTCATCAAGTTTTCTGTTGATTTTAATTCGTGAAAATAATTTCCAATTTGAAGAGACAATTAAAAAGTTAATTGGTGATAATCAAATCGCCAATCAAAATCAAACCAAATCATCAACTCAATTGTTACTTGATCAACTTAATCTGAGTGATGATTTAATTTTAATCTCAAAATATTCAACAACCATTGAAAATGTAACAATCAAATCAATTTTACTCCGGAAAAGATCAACTGATTTATCAACAATTAACCTTAAACCAAGAGTAATTTATACAACCGGACAAACCTATGGTTGGGTTGATCAATTAAAGTCAACACTTAATTGTAATAATCAAATTAATGGGGATGAGAAAATTTGGTTAATCTTCAATGAATCATATCGAAGTGGATTAATTGGATTAGCGTTATCCCTGAAAGAGGAAACCTTTGGTCATCGGATTAGGGCAATTCTTGCCCCTGGATTTAATCATGAAAAAGATGAGGAAACATTCAAACAATTACGAGAAAATGATTTACTAATTAATGTAAAAGTTAATCATGATTGGGGAACATATCGACACATTGAACTTAATCCAATGGATGAAGTTATTATCCAAGATCAATCTGCTTATTTGGCTTGGACACCAACTGACCAGTCGAAACTTAATTGGTACAAATGTCCACCAATCGTTGCTAATGATGAAACAATATTTAATTACTATTCAACTCTCAATTGGTCCCTTAATTGTAATCAATCAAATGGTAATCATCAGTTAAATCATAAAGTTGGCTGGGATTTTGCTGGTTACTCTGGTGAAGGGAAAAAAGTTATGGGTAAGTTAATTGTCACCTCTAATTGTCCAGTTGATTAACTTTAATTACTTTCAGGTCTTTGCTATGGAAACGGAACCAATTACATTTTACCAAATGATTCAATCTTAATCAAATTTAATATTCCAGACAATTTATCATTACAATCAGCAGTTACTTTAACTATTCCTTATTTAATTGCTCATTATTGTTTGGATATTTTGGGAACAATTAAGTCTAATAGTAGGGTATTAATTAGTGGTTCTTATCAAGATTTAATTGATTTCTCGTTAATTTCAATTTGTTTATCTCGAAATTGTAATGTTTATATTAATCTACCATCAACATCATCACAGTTAATTGTTGATAATTATTGTAAATTATTTCCCTCGCTAAGTGATTTAAATTTCATTAAATCATCGTATCACAATTTGGATAGACAATTATTACAATTAACCAATAATTATGGAATTGATTTAATCATCAACATGGGATCAACTGATAATATTAAATTGATTTCTAATTGTTTAACATTTGGAGGTAAATTAATTCACATTGGTTCATTTGATGATCATCTGAATACTCATTATTTGAGTAAGTAATTAATTAACCTTGATTGTTATTGATTGTTTTTCTTTATCTTATTGATTTAATTGATTTTGATTAAATGTTTTCTATCAAATCTTCCAGGTGATCAATTTACATCAAAATGTGCAAGTTTTGAATCATTTGAACCGATCAACTTGTTTAGGTAACTAATCAATTGATTGTCAATGTTTACAATCAAATTTAATTGTTTTACCTTTAATTTTACAACAGGAAATTATTAGATAAAAGTTGGATTAAGACAAAGCTTGTCCATTTAATTAACCATGGTTTGGAAAATAATCAAATTAAACCTTTTCCATTTGTAACAATCCGCCGAGATCAGATTACAATTAAATGTGACCAATTAACTGAATCAGAGCGAGTTCGAAAAGTGATAACAATTAGAGATGAATTAACAGCGAATCCAATTGCTGTTAATTGTATAACACGAACTCAATTCAATCCGGATAAATGTTATATATTAATTGGTGGATTAGGAGGAATCGGATTACAATTAACTCGTTGGATGATCCGGAGAGGAGCTAAAAATATAATCATAACTCACGAGGTGGATTAACTAATCAATATCAACAGTTTATAATTAATCGATTAAAATCTCGACAATATAATGATATCGATATAAATCAATCAACTAATAGTGTGAACATTGTTGTAATTAAAACACCAACAAGTGATTATGATTCATGCTGCTCATTAATTAACCAATCAATTGCTAATTATGGTCCAGTTGGTGGTATTTTCAATTTAGCGGGAATACTGAAAAGTGGCCTCTTCGAAAATCAAGATCAATCGACATTTAATGATGTTTGTTACTCTAAGGTTGAGGTGACTGAGCATTTCGACAAATTGTCACGACTTTTTTGTCCACAATTAGATTATTTTGTTTGTTTCTCCTCAATTTCTGCCCTGGGGATACTAGGGGAGCCTAATTATGGTTATGCAAATTCGTACATGGAGCGATTATGTGAAGATCGACGGTCAGTTGGCCTACCAGGTTTAGCGATCCAATGGGGAGCCATTGGTGATGTTGGAATGGCTCGACATTTGACCACATCGATCGCTGGGTCAGCCTTTCGACGGGTTCTAGGAGTTATTCATGATTTAGATAAATTTTTACAACTTCCTCATCCGGTTTGTTATTCAGTACAACATGCAACCAAACAGGAGCCATTGGCTTCTGGTAAAGGTAACATTTTACAAAGGATTGGTCACATTTTGGGCTGTCAAAGTTTGGATAAACTTGACGGATCGACGACATTGGGTAATCTTGGCCTCGATTCGTTACAAGCAATTGAAGTGAAAAATTTGATCGACACAACTTGTAACATAAGCTTATCCAACATTGCGATATTGAAACTAAGCATTTCTCAATTGGATGAGATGGCGAGTGAGGCTTTGAATGGTCAATCAGATACTATCGGTTCATGTGAAATTGGTCAAGCAGCGGTTGAAGGAGGGAAAACGATGACCATTGAAGAGCCAATTTTGATCAATTTAACGGATAAAGGAACTGAACCGATCTTCTTTTTCCCGCCAGCATTTTTCGATTTTCTTTCCATGATGCCGGTAGCCCAAGCTCTAAACAGAACGGTCATCGGTGTCCAGTTAACAGATTATGTTCGATCCTTGAGTACTTTCACTGCAATCTCACAATTCTATGCTGATACGATTCTCAAAGCTTATCCAAATTTAACTCGCTACGATTTTGTGGGCTACTCTTTTGGTTGTACGGTCTCTTTTGAATTGGCTAAAGTGTTACAAAAGATGATCGGTAAACCGTCAATTGATCGTATTGTTTTCATCGATGCTTCACCTTACGGTCTTAAACGATTAGGTCAAAAGACGATGAAAATGTTTCTCGCTGGATATCCAACATGGGAGATATTTGTTTCCACAATGGAGTTCATGGGAGTTAAAATTGATGAGAGAACCAAAAAATTGTTAGAAGAAGCTGAAGATGATGAAACTTGTTACAAAGAGATAGTTTCTCAGGTATTAATCGATGCAGGTATGAATGGACCAACTGATTCTTTGCTCGAAAATGCTGCTGGATTAATTGATCGAGCCTATTATCTTGGTTCCATGAATGATTTGGGCTCATTTGATGGCGACGCTTTGTTTGTCCAGGTAATAAATAAAGCGGTTTCGTCGAGTGGAACCAGTTCACTTGTCAACGAAGGACTTTCAAAGGTAAAATGTTACAATCAAATTAATAGTTACAAATACTAAGTATTACATTTAGAAAGTTTTTTTTTACACAAATTTCGAAATCAGTTGAAATGATTTCTTAATATACTTTACAATATACAATTCGAATTGAGTTAATTGTTATTTTCTTGATTTTTTCGTTCTTTTTTTTTGTAGATTATCAAAGGTTCATTGAAAACGGTAATGTTCAATGCGACTCACTTTGATATACTAAAGGTTTATGCACGAGAAGTGGCTGGTGAAATTGAAAAAATTATGCCCTGATTAATTAACCTGATTAAATGACTTTTTTTATAATATATATCATACATACACACTTATTGGATTGGATGGATACAATTTAATGTACAATGATAATGATAATGATGTTGTTGATATTGATGATCATGTTGTTATTGTTGTTGTTGTTTTGTTGATTATGATGATTAGGATGATTCAACAGAAACAAAAGATCATCTAAATTGTTGATTGTTTTTAGAGAGAGAGAGAGGAGATATAATTGATTGGAAAAAGTTTTCATTGGCAATGGATTTTGTTATTCATTGAATAAACACTAAATTGTGTTGATGGGATGATGATTGTCCTGATTTGAAATAAACAGTAGTAGCAAAAAAATGGTGATAGTGTTTGTTGGTTACGAAATTAATTATTGGATTCGCTTCTACCTGGAAAAAAAGTAAAGTTTAAAAGATTTTTCTGTTAATTGTTGATCAATTTTTTGTTCGATTGTTTCTTTTTGTCTGTATCTCTCTCTCTCTCTCTTTCTATTAAATAGATGATGATTTGATTTTTTGATTTGATTGATGTAAAAAAAATCAAATTGATTAAAGAGCAACATTTTATGATGATTTGAATGTTCCACTCATGATGAAAGTTTGACTTTCTAACTCCATTTATTGATTCATCAGGTTGATTCTTGGATTAACTATTTACTCTTGTTACTCGTGATTGTGGTAACAATTAGCATTTTCCAAAAGGAGAATGTACACCAAATTTTAGTTTTGAGTTAAGAGTTGAACTTGTGTATAAAATATGAAGTCCAAATATATTTATCTTTTCGATTGAAGTTGAATCAGATCGCTTTTTCTCAGCAACGATAGGTTTTTAGATCATGAAATTTTATTTTATCGACAACTTCGAAAAGAACAATTTTGTTTTGGTAATATCCAAAGTGCTTCAACACACCGTTGATTTAAATAAATCGACGGCGATTAGTCCCATGTGAGATCTGAAACTTATTTTGAGACTATCCTAGTATTAACATGGTTGATCAAGCACTTTTTCGTTTGATCAATAGTTTTACCGGAATGAGAGAGTGGCCTTTGATCTCGAGGCCTAATATCTCCGAAACCAATACTTGAGACAATAAGTCAAATCGCCGTCATTTAACCAGGGCTGTCAGAAGCAATAGTTTTTTGGCCTTAAAAGTTGATGATCTAGCTGCGACTTAAGTAAATTAAAAGTTATACTACATTCAAGTTATAAACACCCGAATGTTTTATGTTTGCTCGAATGAAATATTATTTCATCAAACATTGTCAAACTATTTATAGCAGTGACTGTATTTTAAGGCCAAAAACTATTATTTGACAGCCCTGTTAAATGACAGCGATGATTATTTAGACATCTCAAGTATTGTAGTTTCGAGATATGAAGATCAAAGGCCACTCTCATTCATAAACTGTTGATCAAACGAAAAAGTGCTGATCAACCATGTTAACCCATACTAGGATAGTCTCAAAATAAGTTTCAGATCATTCTCGACACTTGGGACTAATCGCCGTCGATTTATTTAAATACAACGGAATTGTATGGAGCACTTTGATATTTACCAAAACAAAATTGCTTTTCTTAGGGTGCGAAAGTTGTCGATAAAATAAAATTTCATGATCTAAAACCTATCGTTGCTGAGAAAAGGATCAAGTTTTAACTTCGAACTCGATTTTCTCGAAAACCACTGATCAGATCAGAAAAAGATAAATATATTTGGACTTCATATTTTTAGCCCTACAAATACACAAAGTTCCAACTCTTAACTCAAAACTAAAATTTGGTGTACATTCTCCTTTAACAACTCACAGAACTGGTTGATGGTTAATCAATTTGTAAGATGAGATTGTGACGGTGATAAAATGATAATAGTTTGTTGTAAATGATGATGGTGATGATATTCGATGGATTGGTTCATGTTATAAGGCAGTAATTTCTTGATATAATTGTTGTTCCATGATGAGAATAATTATTTTGTTATAACGATCCAATGAGTTAATCACAATTTCGCTTGTTCAATAATTAACTATTTCACTGTTTTTCTAACTCTTTTCGGTCTTAATCTACCATTTTCCCTGGAAAGACTTTGACTGATGTTTTCGTTGATATTTTCTTTTCCATCTATCACAGTCTCTATCACTAAATCGGTATCCATTTCAATCTCCTTGTCAATCTCTTCAACTATCACCATTGATTCTTTATCCTTAGAGGTTGTAATTTCTTTATCCATCTCTGGACCAATTTCACTTAAACTATTTTGGAAAAGTGCTTGTGTAAGGCCATAGGCAAGCGCATTATTTAAAGGTGCAGAAATGTTTCTCCACAAATGGTTTATCCCAGTAAAGCTAAATATAGTTGCTTTATTTATGTAAGAATCGATGATCTGAATGAGAAAAAGAGAGAGACAATTAAAACAACTATCTGTGGATATAAGAGAGGGAGAGAGGGAGAGATGAGGAAGATGATACTCTTAGAAACTAAGATGAAAGAAACAGAAGAGAATAAGTGTTTCCAAAACAGATTACGTCTTCTTTTTCATCTCTTTTTCTATTTTCTGTCTTGTTTTTTTTTCTTCCGGATTCATCGGGAAAAGATTTATGGTTACAAAGAAATGAAGGGAAAAGATATTGATAGGAAAGAACGAAAATAAGAAACAATAACAATGAAATTATTCTGTTTACCTCTTCGTGTTTATTAAGCTCCGGATGAATGACAGATTTGTAAAATACTTTGGCACCGTTACCATAGGGAGACATTAACCAAATGATGAAGAAAATTTTAGTCTCATAATAAAAGGGAAACCAAAAGGCCACCAATATGTCGGAGAAAAATTCAACAGCGTTGAAAATACCATAGCAAACCCAATACATCATCCATCTTGACTAAAATTTGTTGATAATCGAAATCCATCCAATTGTGATAAGATGGTAACCATAAAAAAAACGAACAGAAAACAACCAATTAGAATTTAATAACATGACAATTAGGGAGTTAATTGGATAGAATTAACAAGAAAAATTCAACATGAAAGAGATAAAAGTGACAACAAAGAGAGAAGAACAAAGTTGTAAAACAAAAAGGTAACCAAGACATAGAGTAGAAAAAGAAAATGAAGTTGACAAAGATGAGAGAAAAGAACCAAAAACGGTTCTCTTTAGAATAGAATAAAAGAAATGTTCTTTTTAGAATAAAATTACTTACATGTTCTCGGGCATCTTTCCTTTTAATCGCTTTATATGATTTATATGCTGGATATAATGTTCCAAGAACTAATTTACAATGTGAATAAAAGTATTTAGCAAGAAAATTAAAGGCTGACGATGCACAGAAAATGGTGATAATCCCAGAGATCAATATGATTGGAATCATAGTTTTTCTAAGTGAATGTATTTAAATCAATTTGTGTGAGTGTTTAACACCACAAAAATCACTTCCAAAAATCAACAAACGACAAGGTTAACAACAGGTAACAAAACGAATATAAAATGCAAATAATTTGAAAGATAAAGTTGATTACTTAAAAAGGATTTACAATTACAAACACAATATTAGAAATCAACTCAACACAAGAAACAATTTAAATGGAGAAATAAAAAAACCGCTTCCATTCAAAACTTCAAAAAGAAAAGAAAATCAAACTAATCCAACAGATGGCGTTCCAAAAGTTTCGATTTCCATCCGTTAGATGTCACCACAAAAACGAAACAAAAAAAGTTTAACAATCGAATTGATTTTAATTGTTGTCCAGACAAATGTGAAACAATTAAGAGTATAAATTTGGATGATAGACAATTAAAAGAAATTCAAATTGATTTAACAATGAGAAGAAAAAAAAAATCCAAAAGATTTTTTCGAGTAAAAGTAAAGAAAAACAAATGGAGAAAAAAAGATTCGAGTTTATTTTTAATTATCAACAGAAAATATAATCGAATTAATTTTACAATTTATTCTAAATTGTTATCGAATTAATTTTTTTTTTCATTCTCTTTATATCTGAATATAGTTAATGAACTTTGTTTGATTGTTTTCACAATGAATGGTCAATGAATTGTTAAGATGTTTAGTCAATTGTTTTGTTGTTGTTATATTTTCGTTATTAACCTTCACAATTTAACATCGATAAATATTGTTAATAGTAATCAACTGATCATGATCAAATTGTTTTGTATTCATGACAAAAAGCTATCAGATGAGAATAATAAAAATTTATTCCTATAAATTATTATAATTTATAAAAGACAATGGTCAATATATATAACATTCATTTCTATGGCTACGGTCAATGGGATCTCTTGTAAATGTGTATACAGATAAATTTGATTCCTAAATTCAGTTGTTATTAGTTCAATGAAAAAAATAACCGTTAATTGTTTACTAGTTTATCAATTGTTAAAATTTTCCAAGCAAACATTAATCAACTAAGATTATCATTAGAAACGGCAACAATTCAAATGAACATTGGATAAACTTTCAAATCAAAAGTGAACATTTCAATTAACAGTTAATTGTTACCATTGTTTTTATTGATTAATTACAAATACTTTTATTATAACTTTTAAATTGTTATCATCTAACTTGTTTGTTGGCCATCATTTCAATTAATCAAGGTGTTAATTGTGTTATTTTGCTCAACATTAACTGTCAACAATTTAGTTTCACCAGTTAATTCAATTGAATTTGGTACAACCCTATGTAGGTTTCATACAATTGAAAGTGTAATTGTTTTTCATTGTTTCTCATTTGAACTTTAAATTGTTATGACAATTAACGATCGGATAGTTAATTGTTGATTACAACAGACCCGATGTGTCGCTGTTATAAATGAATTCATGGGTTGCGGTACTAGTGCGGCTTATCGGAGAAATGATCAAATGTCCCGACCAGGAACACAAGAATTAAGGAAAAACAATTCGAGTGTAAGTCCAACAATTAAGAGTTAATTGTTTCCGAATTTACGAGAAAATAAAAAATTCTAGAATCAAAGTTATCTTTAAAGCAGTTTTTTGATTGTTGTCTACGTCAACTCGATTTTATTACAATTAACTCTTGCTGGTTAATTGTCAAAATCAATCATCTCAATAGTATTGATTTCAATTTTCAATACAAAATTAACACTTTGAAGCTAAATTATCAAAAGTAACGGTTAATTTAATTCCCGGCAAATTGATTGTCCTTAATTATTGATTTTCACTTTTTTTTGCTCCAATTGAATCAACAAAAAGTTGACCCTGATTTTTTTTCAATGATTTACGTTAATTCAAATCAATTTTTGTGATTAAAATATCGAGAAAATTTAAAAATTAAAATGATCATGCTAATTATCAACATGGTTTCCATTGATATTTGATGATAATCATTTCTAATTGATTGTGATTCCTTTCAACTCCAACAATCAGACTGATGATCACTAATCATTAATAATTAAACCAAATTCTGATCAATTATTAATCAAACATTGTAACATTATTAATATAACATCAACAGGTAATTCATTGTAATAATACAACAATTAACCAGATTGAAACATAATTAACCAACCAATAGAATTGACTAACAATTAAGTCAACCATTAACTTTAGTCTTCCTTTTATATATTAATAATTACAATAACTTAATTATATCAGCTAATTACTTTAATCCACCCAACTAATTTAACCCTGTAATTGCTTGAATTAATTACTAATACAATCAAAAGAAAATCAGTTTGATTCTAATATTAATTTCCAGTGAATTTTCAATTTTCAACTTTTTTTTCCCAGTTAATTGTTGGTCTAAATTGTTATTCAAGTAGATAACTCGAAAATGACTGAACATTGCACAATTAAATTGTCATCTCCATTGGTAAACAATTAATCTCCATATTGATATGTAACAATGATGATAAGTTAATTGTTGTTAATCATTGAGAAACAACATTTGAATTACAAATTATTTTCTCTCCTACACCCAAAGTGTATTGTAAGAAATTGATTTACTTTCAGGTTGAATGATTATCAATTTCGTGATCACAATTAGATTATTATTGCAACCTAGTAAAGAAGGAAACAATTAAACTGATTAATGTTTATCCAATAAATCTAATTGTAATCAATTTAATTTCTCTCAGACCATTGAGATAACCAGGGAGGCTCTTCAGAATTATCTGGACTTGGAACACGCGATTCGTGATCAAGAAAGGAAACACATTTTAGAAACTTATCAAATTAAGACTGAACAATTAGACCAATTGGAAGAAGCGTTAATTCAAATGGAGGAATTGTTAGCCCAATGTTCAGACGAAGGGTAAGTGAGAATTGTCAACAATCAACTAATTGTGACACTTAAATAGACCAACAATCATTTGGTTGTTGTTGTTGTTTATGCGACAGTTTGATGATCAATTTTGTTTTTCCTCTTCTTCTGTCAAGATTACATATGATTTAAGTTTCACTTGATTAGTTGATTGTTATCATTAAATCAATTGATTGACTATCGTCATAATCTTTAATCACTTGTAAATCAATCGATTTTAATCATTAATTTTCATTCACTATCTAAATTGTTACCTAAATACATTCATTCAAGTCAACGATCAATATTATTATCGAAATCAACTTTTTTTTTGTCAACTTGATGATATTTTCCTCATGCAAAGATTTCAGTTTAATAATAACAACAATTAACTCACACTAATTTGATAGGCTAACAATTAACACACTTGATCAGAAAATTAAATCAATACAATCGTAATCACAATAGTTTACATTTACAATGTTAATCTACTTGATTGTTTCTTGTCCGTTTTCATTTGTCTTTTTTTTGTGGTCAACATGATTAACTAATTGTTACTCTTTATTTGGTCATTTTTTTCGTAACAATTTAGATCAAAATTTAATAGTAAATTAGGAAATGATGATCTTCACAATACTCGGGAGTTTATCCTTCGGAAAAGTTATACAAATGATAAATTAACAAGTGATGAGGAAAATTTTCTCGATGTGCTCAATAAACAGGTAAGTTTACAACAATCAACTGATTAATTAACAATTTAAGGTCAATTTAGGCTCTCATCATGAAGATTAAATCAATTTCTAGTGGAAGAAATCATCTTACATTATAACAATTGGTTAATTGTGATGGATTATTTTTTCTCCACATCAACAATCAAGGATTCGTTTAATTGTTCAATTGTGATGAGAGAAATTAAATTCAATCATATTATTACTACAATCTAATGATATTATTATTCATATGAAACTAATAGACTGAAAATCATTAATATTAACCGTTGAAATTTTGTTGATTGTTAACAATTTGGTTTATCTTTGAAAAAATTAACTTGATTGTTTATCTATTAAAATCATGATCGATATCATGATTAATATCATTTGCTATCATTGTTATTATTACAATCTATTGATATTGAACAAGGCCAATGTCACGAAATATAAATTGTCATGTTTTTGTTTTCCATGATGACAACAATTAACTAATCAATATACAGGATTAACTTGAATCTAAATTGACTGATTGCTGAAATTTCAATGGTTTGTTTTTATACTACCTTAATTGTAATCAGATTTTGTAAAAAAGATCCACATTGTTGATTTAATCACTAATAATCTGTTAATAGTTTACTCATGTAAATTGTTGATTTGATTAACTGATTTAATCAATTTTCAAACCTTGACACTTATATATATATAAATTATATCTTGTTACTCTGATTGTTGCTTAATCAATTGCTTCAAATGATTAACCTTAATTTAGTTGGGTTAATCAATAGTAGCACACTTTTTAGCAAGACTGTTACAATTAGGAGCAATTAAGATTGATTGTTTCAATAAATTGATTCTAATTGTAACTTGATTTCTTGTGTCTCACTTTTTTTTTCATAGTTTGACAACATTATATTAATTGTAATTACGATGACAGATTAATGATTAACTGAATTATAATCATGTTTGCATGTTAATTTAAAAACTGAATTAGATCATTGTAATTATCCAACTGGTTAATTGCAGATAGATAGAGACTTTCACTGGTCCGTTATGCTTGACCAATAATAAATTAGTGACAATATTTGACAATAAATGATTATCATGATCAATAAGGAAATAATTTAATTGTAACAATTAAAATCCCAAATAAAGACAATGTTGATTAATATTGAACATTGATCACGAAACAACAGTCAAACAATTTACCAATCGTTATAAATGTAATGAGAGATTGATTTAGAATCGAGATGATTTGAGAGCTATTGATTAATTGTAACAATTAAAACTCGAAGAGAGATAATTTCTCATTGATTCTAAGTCTATTCCAAAGGAACTCGTTGAAAGGGATTACAAAAATACTTTATCATCAATCGAAGAGCTAAAACTGGACATTGCCCGATTATCCAAAGAAGGTGAAAAACTGCAAAAACTTTACGCCTCAAGGGATGAATTATTAGGTAATTGTGATTAACTAATTGTCCATCATTCCAATAATAACGGTGGACCTAATTTCCCTCCCTGTCAACCTTTTCCACTCCCATTACAGTTTTTAGAACTGATTTTCACTCCTCAAATTGTTGCTATATTGTTTTCCTTGATTACCTTTTAATTGACCAACACAATTGGGTCAATATTGTTTATTACTTTTGTCTATTGACGTCAAGATTTAACAAGGTTACAATTTGTTTATTGATATTTGATTGGAAATTCATTGTTAATTATGTTGGAAAAACAAAATTTTCTCTCACCTTAGATACGATTTTCGAAGGTCAATATGGAAGTGACATGGAGAACCAATTGGAACGGGAATTGGACTGGTTATTGGAACAGAAAAGACATGTTGATCAGGCCTATTTTCGTTGGAGACAAGCTCAAATTCAGGTCAAACTAGCGTGTGGTTTACTTGCTGAATCGGTTCAAAAATGGAAAGACATTTTATCCATTCCATCAGAGTAAATATATATTTCTCTTTCTCTCTCTCTCTCTCTCCAGTTTAGTTAATCAACTAATTGTTATTCTGTTGATTATCGTTTACTTTTACAGGGAGAATGAATCTCGATATGAAATGGTCACTGAGATACGGAATAAATTATCGGAGGCCAGTTCTAATCTACAATCTGCTCAACGTTATTTACCCAATATTACATTTCCTTATTGTTCACCTGATGAAATCGCTACACTAGACAAGGCCATTTCTTACATATTCACGGACATGCAAACACGTGAACGTCACGAACACGCACTTTCCTGTTATCAGACGACCTACAAAAGAGCAGCATCATTGAAACAATGGTTAGAACACGTTCTAACTACAACCATCTCTCGAGATCTATTTGAAATAACGGAAGATTGTAAAGCTCGAGCCTCTGAACTACGAAATGAACGAACTCGATTAATAAGATTACGAATCAAGGAGTTAACTGGTAACGATCTTGATTACGACGGTGGAACTGAATTAAGAGGTAAATCTATTATATCAACTCTATGGTTACAATATGTCTCTTATTTTACGAGAATTGGGTTAATTGTTTATGTTTCCTTCTCACTAATTGTTTACACTCTTTATAATCGTTATTAGACAGTGGTGTTGATAGTGAGTTTGATGATACATCTACTGCCGATGAACAAATTGCTCGTATCTTTGAATCGTCTCGAAGTGAACGCAAAGGGGCCAAATCTTTGACACCCGATCCGACGAGGGTTCCGTTTGTTATGCCAACACCATTACCATCAGCTGATCTTGCACCAACCCCACAAAAGGAGGAGATATTTGGTAAGACAATTAACAATCAACATACACAATTAACCCATAAGGAAATTACATCAATCGCATAAAAAAATTTAATATCAATCAGATGATCAATTTGTTTACACATTACCTTTGGATGCTATTGATTTGTTTTGATTGTGATTGACTATTAATACAATTTATATTTAATTATTAATACAAATCACAATTGGAAACAATCAGTAAACAATTAGGAAATAACTGTTTTTCAATTCAATAATTAAGTCATTCAATTTATGGATGAAAGTGATGTAAACAATTTAATGACATTACAAAGTTAATTAGCAAACAATTGAAGTTTTTTACTTGTTTATGATTAGTAATTTATTCAGCTATTTAATTGTTATATTGTGATAATAATAATAATCGATAGTGTTAAATGAAATTCATTTTAATTTATATTCCAAGTTTGTAATGTAATCATATTGATCATTTGTAATTGGAAATTGTTTTGTTGTTGATTGTTTATGTAACAATTTAAATTGATTGTTTCTTTTTTTTTCTAATTGTTTCAGGACGAATTGAATTTTTAAGAAATCGACATAAAAAGGAGATCATGGACTTGGAACGGAATCAGAAGATGAATCAAGCTCGAGTTACCCAAGGCCTGAAAGAGAAACTTCAAGCCCGTCGAAGTCGTCGAAGTCGCTTACAAATGCACAATCGTGAACTCGAAGCTCTTCGAGAAACCCCTTAATCCGATTCGAATTGTTTCTTCTATCTCCATCGATCACCTTAATTGTCTCAATTATTATTATCAGTTAATTGCGATCAAAATCAATTGAACTTATCAGAGACAAAAAAACAAAATCTATTCAAGTGCCTTCGTTACATTATCAATGTTCAACGAAATTTAAATTTAAAATGTCCGTAATTAATAAGGTTAATTATTTGTAATTCGTTTAATATTTAATCATCACAATCAATGTTAATTGTAATATTCATTATTTTTATCAATGTAAAAAAACAATCAAAAATGAAAAGCAAATTAACAGACTGAGAAAGTCATTTAATTAATAGCAACAAATGAAATGTTTGCATGGTTAACATTGGACAACAATTAATTGATCGGTTGTTTTTAATAAACAGTATAATTTAGTTGATTAAATTGCTGTTGACCAATGTAAGTTTGAATTGTTTTCGAGCTAATTGTTTGCCAAACAATTCCACCGGCAAATCCATTGATACGAATCTCAACTGGACAATCATTTAAAAAGATCACGAACTGTACCGTTTGGCTCGAGACTTGGAGTAATTATCCGATTATAACTACTCATAAGATCATCATACAATCTCTTGGCATGAGCATTACATTCAATCTCTGAGATGGCTAATTGTATAAATAAGTAGCAATTTAGTAACCATTTCCACCGAGATGAGGAATGAAATTTGATACATTGAGACATTGTCAATCGAGCATCAATTTGGTGCGGGAATATTTTATAAAATATAAAGTGATATTGAAATTTAACGAAACATTTCGATACAATGCATGGTGGCGACACAAATTGAGGCCTCAACTCGATTCTTTAACTGAATCACAATTTAGAACTGAGATGGATCATCAACTGAACTAATCGATTAGCAGCAACAAACATGATAAAATGTTCTAAGCATAGTAAATATTTTCAGCGAAAAACTTGACGAAAATAGATGAGAAAAGGTTCATAGAGAGAGATTCGGATTCCAAGTAACTATTTGTTAATAGTTTAGGTTACAAAATGGTGGATTCTAGTCCAGACTGTCAATCCGATGTGGACACTTCGAAAGATGGAAAATGGTGAACGAACTCGAAAAAGTAGCAAACATCCGTTCAGAACAAAAAATACACTCGACTTTTTCTTTGATGATTTTTTTACCAAAATAACATGAAAAGCAAATTAATAGACAGAGAAAGTTGTTTAATTAATAGCAATGAATGAAATGTTTGCATGGTTAACATTGGACAACAATTAATTGATTGGTTGTTCATAATAATCAGTATAATTTGGTTGATTAAATTGTTGTTGACCAATGTAAGTTTGAATTGTTTTCGAGCTAATTGTTTGCCAAACAATTCCACCGGCAAATCCATTGATACGAATCTCAACAGGATAATCATTGGCATTTAAAATGATCACAATTAAATAACCATCTTGATTGATCATAGTTAATAGATGAATATTATCATTTAAATGTGAATCAATCGAATGACCAATTCTAACTGACCCTGGTCCAAGAAATTTGGTAAAATGAGCTAACATATAATAACTTGGCTGTTTATAGTATTCATTGTGAATCGAGTTGATTATTATCGGTGAGTCTTGAAATTTTCGGGATTTAGATGGACCTCCGATCATGTCCAGTGCCAGATTCGAGTCGATCCAACCATTCGTCCAATGATTGAATACCTTAATTATATCGTGACCATAATTTTCCGCTCGTTTCCAATTACCAAGAGAAACTTTTTCTAATCAAAACAAAAGAAAAAAAATTAACATCTATCAATCAAAGTGACCATTAAAATGACCATCACAACAATTATTACCTTCGTTAGGACGAGTACCTTCAGCAGCTTCGGTTGAAAGTAAATAATAATTCTGGTACTTGGAGTGAATCAAGTTGAGCAAATGTTTCGTATTATAATCATTCTTATACCAATGAAATGCGATTCCGGAAATGAAATTTTTACTGACCGGATCGTCAAGGGTCAGTGGGATCCAGTAGTAATTGGAAAATGATAAATAATCATCGAGAACCAATAATTTCAATGGGCCAATTGGATAGGAGCGAGTAAAGAATCCTGATTGATTAAGTGTCGGCCCGAGGACATTATCAATGAATGATTTCTGCTGATAGGGTAACATGGGCACTCCCATGGGTCCATTGGCCAGAAAGGATGAGTAAGGTTTATTTCCGGAAGTTAAAGCCCAAAAATTGATTCCGTGCTTTTGATAAGCTTGTAAGAATCTAATTGATTGGTGACATGTAGAAAATGTTACAATCACAATTAATTGGTGAACAGTTTAAAATGTATTGATAAACCTACTTGACCATATAAAGAGCCCAAAGTTTGTAGTAGTGACCAGTGGGTTCACCTTTGATTGGAGCTTTGTAAGGTCGCCCTTTCTTCAGGTTACTAAGCCAAATAGGTGCTGTCCATGGGGTGGCGATTAACTTGATATCAGGTTGAAGGGTAATCGCTTTTCGTATCACTGGTATCTGGTAAATAATTAACAAGGACCATTAATGGTCAAGATTGACCAGAGAGATGAAAACTGTTTTTACCTTGTACCAAATGTCCTCATCAGCCAGAGTAAAATCATCAAGTGAACCAGAAGGAACCTCAGCCAATGAATAGTCTCGAGTTGAAGCCTCACTGGTTCCAATGGGTATTCTTGCAACCCGATATTCGAGTCCATCAGGTCCGAAACAGTCTCGAATAACCGATTCTCCCATTCGATTGGACAAAGAAAGTATATTCAATGAAGTGGAATCACTGATTGTCCCACCAAAACCAACGTTAATCGTTTGAAATCTTTGCGATGGATTAAGATTAATGGTTAGAGTTAAGGTTGGACCGAAAAGGTTATTAGGTAATTCTGCTAAATCAGCGGCCGTTGTTGAATCGATCAATGAGATGACCGATTTATGGAATCGTAGTCCGTCCCTTGACGTTTCGTACATATGAACATGGGCACTTGGTGGGGATTCAATTTCAATCAAGGAATCACAATAAGTTTCATCGCAAACGCACACATATGAATCTCGATTAAATTTTCTGAGTGCACAAGAGTAAACAACGAAAGCTAATTGCGAGTAAACAATTAATCCAGTTAATACAATGATTAACCAACTGTTAACTATTAAACCATTAAAATGATTTGTTACTTGTTGATTGTCACAATTGTACCTACGATTATGTTGATGATAATTGTTACCAATCTTATTGGAAGCCATTGGATTTTTACATCAATCAACAGATTTGTAATTATTGTGTCGCATAAAAAAATGAGATAGTTAATTGTTGAATATTGTATCCATGATAATGATAATGATTTAATCAAAATCGATCATCATATTAATTAGATTAAAATTGATTAGATCAGCAGAAATCTTTAGATTATCCAAGTTTATTTTACTCAGCAGAAAATAATCTAAATCAGTTTGATTTATTTTTCTTCTAATTAGCAATTTTCTTCATTCGATTGAACTAAATTAACTTCGTCAATCATCAAATAAAACTTACGATTAAAGATTAGAACAAAACTTCGCTATGAAATTTTCGAGAAAGTTGGTGACAACTTAATCGAAATGTACATTTCTCTAACTCCAAAATTCTCATTGCTTAGAATATTCTCGTGGAAATTATCAAAATTTGACCTTCGAACTACCTTCGTTTTTAAAGTTCTATCGATAAATTGAACACATTGAGCCCCATTCTCGAAACTTCACTTAACCTTTTAATTCTAATCAATCAAGAAACGAAAAACTCTGAGTACCAATCATGTTAATCTTATTACATATTTAAATTATTATCGAAAATCAATTGTGCAGAATATTTTTCTCAATCGAAAAAAAGTAAATCAGATATTTACTGTTATTCGTTTCAATCAAACTCGAACAATTTTTCGCAAGAACAAGTAGCGAAATCTAGTGTCAAAGAAGAGAAATAAAAACGAAAAGAAAATTCTATTGACCGAATTTCAGAAAAAAAAAGAAAACAAATGTTAAAGAGAGAGAAAGAGAGAGAGAGAGAGAGAGAAGAAAATGATGATAAACATTTTCTCATCTTCACATCATCTTAAAGGTCATTTACCTTCAACCAGAAAACCAGAAAAACCCGAAAAGGGCGGAGACTAAATGGAGAAGAAAAAGGGATGGAACAATTTCCTCCCCTAGTAACCGAACCAACTTTCGGTTGTCAAGCTTGTTGACAGTTAATCTTGAGCTTTGTCGAGATTGAATGTTTTTAATATAACAACAATCATTTTCTTTATTATGATTTAACAAAAGAGAAATTAAATCAACCAATTAAAAAGGAATTAATTTAATTTCACCTTTACCAGTGATTGTGTAAATTGTGAATTCTTTCAATAAATATAAAGGTTAATGTGATTTCCAAATGAATGTGGTAAATTCTATGTTTTAAATGTGATATTTTTCTTTTCTCTTTTCATATTCTCTAATATATTAAATTCTCATCTTCTTCTCTCCATCAATCCAGTTATATCATCAATTCATTTTCTCATCTTAAATCATCTTACATCTTGTTATTCTTTTTTTTTCTTGCCTCTCTTTTTCTTCTTCTTTATTCTTGATCATCTTCAATTGGAACACTTTCAATTCTCTCTCTCTCTCTCAATATCATCATCATTCTCAAACATCGTTATTAAATTCAACCCAAAGGATGGATGCACCTATTGAAGGATATTATTGTTATTCTCATGATTGTGTTTAGTGTTTGTGATTATATTGTTTTCCATTTGTCTCTCTCTGATATATATCATCGTCATCTGCATCATCATCATCACCATTATTTTCGCCATTTATTGTAATACAAAAGTTATAATAGTAATTAACCAGAGAGCGTAGAGAGTTGAAGAGGAGGTTGATTAGTAAAATTATCATTGCGATAATTTTCTGTTTTTTTTTCTTCCATCATCATCATCATCATCATTTCTATTCTGTTCTCCTACAACAAATATCATCTCATATCTTTGATCGTCCTTCAAGTTTCTCTCTCTCTCTCTCTCTCCCATTATTATTATTCATATGTGTGTTTTAATGTGTGATAAATAAAAAAGGAAATCAGGATAAAGAAGAAGCTAAAAAATAAATAATAAGGATCATCACCAATGCTAATTTGTCCCTCATGCTGTGAGTTATGTATAAATGGTATTTGTTAACTGAATCACCAGCATCATCAACCTTAAAACAGGGCAACTCTCTCATCATCCTTATCACCATCGTCAATACGACCATCAACAACAACAACAACATCACCACCAGCACCTTAAACATCAGTAAATCCATCAGCGGCATTAGCCTAATACTAATTTCAATCGATTTGATCACCACCACCAAAGGAAAAAAATCCGTTGATTATCAATCTTTTACATCTCAATTATTATCAATCTCGATATTAAATCAACACCAACAGCGATTTACCTTCTACTCATCTTCTTTTCCACCATTTATCAGCAGGAGTTATGGCCTACAAATGGAGAGATGAAATTGTTGGTAAAAGGTTTTTATGTGTAACAACAGTTTCATCGAGTAAAATTAAAGTGAAAAAAATCAACGAATGGATTTGGCGTCAAGGAATCATTCGAGCTTCAAATAGGCCTCATTCTCAACACAACGATTTAACGGTAATTCTCTTTTTCTAATAGTATTTGGTTTTCTAATGAAAAAGTAAAAAAAAAAGGTTAATCAACATGCAAATGTAAATGATATCATTGAGTCTTTTTCCGAAAAATTTAAAAACAATTAACCAATCACCTTTTTCTTGGTAATCCTTTAAATCAACTGTCAAATGATTTGCATCTCTCAAAACTAATACACAACATTTGATCATGTTTAGTATCTCAACATGATGATTGAATCCTTAGGAACTTTTTTCTCATTCAATTTATACATGAAAAAGATAATATTTCACCCTCTTTTTTTATGTCTAATTATGTCAAGTTAGTTTCCTATCATCATTATGATCATTATCATCTCTCTCTCTCTCGAAATGAAAAACTCTCCTCTCATGATTATCAGATATTTTCACCATTCTTGTAATGGAAAACCAATTAAAAGCAATATCATGATGATTCAGGCTTCTAACCATAATAAATTGTGTACAAAGTGCTCTCAGTTATCATCATCATTCATTATCATATTAATTTCTCATTCAACCTAAATATTATCTAACCAAAATTGATAGATGATACAATAATTATCATGTGTATTTGTATTACCTATCAAATCATATTACAAAAGTTATCATTTGCTTTTCAAAACTGTAGCTCACATATATCAAAATCTTAACTCTCTTTTCAATTTATTACTTAGAAATGATAATATTTACACTCACACATAGAGAGTGAGAGAGTGATAAAGAATAATCATAATCTCGTAATGGTAAAACAAATAGAAGATAATTTAAACTTCTCATTCCTCTTCTCTTCTTATTCATCATTAAAATTAATCTAATTCTATCGATACATCTAAATTTGATTAATTCTAATGATGATAGATTGACAATATCAATACTCGAATAATATTTTACAAGGAGACCATTTTTACCCATAGGAACCTCGTACTGCTCCACATTAAAATCCTATACAGAATCTAAACAACAGAAAAAGTCTCTCTCTATCTACCCAAATAAAATCAACATTGCATCTTATTGAAAATGATAAAAAATTATAATTGTAGCTCTTAATTGTGATCCAAATGATTTCGAGTAGTTTACTGTTTATGAAAATAATCAACGTTAAAGCCCATAAACATAATTACCGACAATAGATGATTATTATTTTTTAACTGCGCTTCATCTTCGTCATCTTCTTGATATGTTATTACCTGTAATTATCCATTTTGAATGTTTGGTGATAAAGTAGCTGAAAAAAAAGATGAAGATGATCACGATAGTAATGAAAAACGGTGATAGTGTTTGAGAGAGAGAGAGAGAGAGAGATTCTGAAAGGTCTATAAGAAGAATCAAATTTACCTGTTATGATTATAATCTTACCCTGGAAAGCTAGTTTTCAGTTTTCGTTTCAGGTAAAGCTTGTTTTATCTAGGACAACTTTCATCATAATAATCATCTCTCTCTCTCTCCCAATAACATTATCATCTTCCTCTCACTAGCTCACTCTTTTTAACTCTCCACGCTTCATGTAAACCGGTTGGTTTATAACTGAAGATAAATCCAATTGAACGAAAAAAAAACTCAACTTTCTCTCTCTTGCTTCTTCTCAGCATCATCATCACGTCCTCATCCCTGTTTTTTTTTGCTTCATCTTCTTCTCATCATCATCATCTTAATATTTTTCTTACCTTTATCTTCTTGCTCTCTCACTCAACTTGAGAGTTACATTTTCTTTAATATTTTACTGACTCCTTTTAGTGAGTCATCTATTCCTGGTGACAGTCATGATTTATCTTGAGTTGTTGAAGGAAATAATGGTCATGATGATGATGATATTCATGAAGATAATAATGTTACTTTACCTGCGTTTGATTATGAATTTTTTGTCCTCATTCAGTTGAACAAATGATCATTTTGATTTTAATAGAAAAGCGAAATTGATGTTGGAAAATTGCGAATTAAATTAAATCTACAAAAAGGTTCACTTGAATTCGCAACAATATTACGAAAACAATAATATTAGAAAAACACGCAATTCGTTTTTTTCCAATATGCGGTCAACTTTATTTTCTTTTTGAGGCTTTTCTTTTTTCATCTTTTCGTCCTTTTCGATAATATCGATTGTTTTGACTGAATGGTTCACAATAATGATTCGATGTGGTTCATCAGATACAATCAAATTCTCTCCTTTCCCTTTCGATCGAAATAGAACTTTCCAACTTCGTTCTACATTATTCTTTCTACTCTATTTTTCTTCTCTTTCTCTCTTCCTCATCGATTCTTTTCTTCTGTTGATTAACTTAATTGTTCATCTCTTCAATCCTATTAAATTGATTACAATCTTTCCCTATCAAGACAAAACTAACGAACAATAGTAATCATTTAGAGTGAGCTGAGAGAGAAAGAGAGAGAGATTTGAAGAGAAGATGATAATGATAATGATGATAGAATACTTATATTTAATTAAGGAAGAGTCAACAGTAGTTAGCTAACTTAAGGTAAGAGAAAAGGTTAAAACTTGCAATTCTTATCATAATTGTGCAATAAGTGCTCAGAAAATGATGATTAATATCATCATTTTAATAGTATTTGCAATAGTATTTATGACTTTTAAAAGTTATAAATGATTTTGAAGAAAAAAAATCAAACAAAACAATCATTAAGAAAAATGATTAAGGCATCTGATTGTTAATTCTTCAATATAATTATCCAATACGCTTGTCCAAGGGATTAATACGTGTATTTAATTAACATTAATATTTACGAAAAAAAAAACTAAATTTAATCCAAATGATTAAGAGAAAATGATTTTTTAATCCTCAGGTAAAGAGGGTTGTTATTAACTCCAGAGAGAAAATCATATCAAAAGTGCAAACCCTTGAAGCGATTTATTAATTGCTTTCCAAATTGTTGATAAATTAACATCTCCAGTTCTCTAGAAGTGAAATAATTACAATCGATTATTATTAAATTGTTACAATTAAACCAAGGTAAAAGAGGCAAATCTCTGTGCACTTATCATGTTTATCTTTTTCTTATAACTTGATTTCTTTTAACTTTAATTAAGATTAAATTTTGATTATCAAATTTAATTAATTTAAAGAAATGATGAATTATAATTGGTAATAGATTCATTTTGATTGTTTGACGAACAATTAACTAACAACTTGCAATAGACAATTACAAATGACAATAGAGTTTAATTATTTAAATCAGGAAACAATCTCGATAGCTAATTTAATTAACTATAATTGATTTAAATTCGGCAATTAACCTTGATTATGAAACCATTTACGACAAATATTAGCTAGAAAATTTAACAGTACTAAATTTCCTTATACCTTTTATTGTAATAATCAGTTAATCATCTTAATTGTTGTTACTATTAAAATAGCCTGAGGCAAACGGTGATATTTACGAGAACATTTATCCTAGCATTTTAATTGTAATTAATCTTGATTGCAACCAATTATTGTCGTTCAATGTTGAAGAATCAGTTTCTTGCGATAACCTTGGAAATCGCTGAATTTGTTGATTATCGTCTAACTTATAATTTACAAATTGATAATAGTTTAATAATTAATTTATTTCTGACGACATTTGATTCATACTCAAGTAACATAAAGTATCAAAAACATTATCAGGTTATTCAAAAAGTTATTTTTGGAAAGTTAAATGTTAACCAATGATGATGTTGTTTATTCTGAGTTTTTTTTGGGAATTGATTAAACTGATTTGTATGAATTAAATTGATTTTTACTCATCTCGGTGTGAATGTTACATGTAATGGATCCGTTGGTTTGAATACAAAGTTGAACTTGTAGCTTATATCATCCCAATATCGATGAGATTTTATTTTGAATGATTTTATTATCGATCCAACGATGAATTTTATATAAAATGGAGCCAATCGTTGACCGATACAATCTCTTGGTCTGATTCCGAATGGGATATAAGCACCATTGGGAATTTTAGGTGTAGCATCAGGAGCGAATCGTTGAGGTTTATATTGAAAGGGTTGAGGGAAAATCTTTGAATCTCTTAAGATGCTGATTAAACTAACGAGAATCAATGATCCTTTAGGAATAACTTTACCATCGTTCATGATTTGATCGCGTTCAGCTTTACGAATCTTAACTGGAACTGAAGTGTAGAGTCGAGTAGCTTCCTTGAAACACTGATCTAAGAATTGGAAACTATTGACATCGGCCAGTGTCCAATCTTTTACATCGATATCCTTAACCTCTTGATAGATCATTTCTTGATATTCGGGATAACAGCCGATGATATAAATGAACCAAGTCATAAGACTATCAGGTCCATCAGAACCAGCGACTAGAACTGCTTTGATCTCTTCCAAAATGGCCGATTCAATTTCCTCAGTTAATCCAGTCTCAGGTTTAACCCAAGTTCTCATTAGAAATTCACTAAGACTATTTGATCTTTTACTCTCTTCTGAACTATCGATGAGGTCACTCGAATTGTTATTGGTGTTATTGTTGTTAATTAATCGAGGATTGTCATAATCTACAGCATCTGATTTCGACTGAACTTGAAGATCTCCTTTGATCTGATTATACTTTTTTCTAATCGCAGAGACTAGTATCTTATTAGTTTTATCAATCATTCTTCGAGTTCCAGTCCATTTTATATAAATTTCGTATAAAAAATCAGTATAAAAAAGAGGAAACATCATACGAATTTCTGCTTGATGAAGAAACTTATCCATCGCTTTGATTAAAAATCTATAATCTTTTTCTACGAATTCAACTCCTGAAGCTTTGCCTAAGATCATTTTCATCGTTGTTATTGAGAAAAAGCCTCGGATATCCAAAGGTTTACCTGTTTTCTTCTCATCTACGATTGATTGTTGAATCGATTTGTTTACTGACTCAGATAGCGATCTTATGTTACTTGTATAATGAGGAATGGAAAGAGGAGAAAACTGTTGACGAACTAAACGACGACGAGATTTCCATTTTTCGTCTTTAGAAGAGATTATCCCTTGACCAAAGAAAATTTCAGCCGTTTTAAAAGGATGACCTTTGTCCAACGTCGCAGGCGTGCCCACAGTCTCCTGTAAAAGTTATGGCAAACGTTCAACGTATTCACAGTCAGAATCAATAGCATTCAAAGCTTAGTCCTTAACATGATAGTTTCTAATTCGTTTACTTACTTGAGCTTTATCGTATCGACCAACCATAATGCATGGAATACACAAGAACCAAATGACACAATATCCATTCTTTTGGAAATAATCTTCATGTTCTTCCAATATAATCCTCAAAACATTAGCTATAAACGTTGATGAATAACATATTTAACACAATATCCGGGGATGGACACAAATGAAAATAAGAAAACAAATTAACGAAAATCTGAAGGGCAATCTGAACATCGAAATACTTACAATCTCCACGAGCAATGCTGATGAAAACTTCATAAACTTTACATATTGGTCGATATGTTGGTAATTGAGACAATCGATATAAGTAAATAGAGTAGTTGATTAAGTTAAAGACCAGATAAGTTGTAACAATTGACCAAAATATACTTAATGGTGTAAATTTAAAACTAGACACTAACGATAACAAATCCATGGTAAATATAACAAATGAATAGCGAGACGATAATAATGAACTTAAACCGACCTATTAAGTTTAATTATCAACTGTCTTAATCCGATCAACTCAATTAAAAAAGTTGAAATGATTCTGATCACTTGGATGTCTTGAATATAACCCTTTTAGTTTAACTTGATTCACAATTAAATTATTAATTTATCTTAAATTTTCCTGAGAAATCAATCAAAAACTGAGAATAATTAAGAGTGAGAAAATCTTAATTAACAATCACTATTAACGAGGAATAGAATTGTCTTAATTTCTCTGGACAAACAATTAAGTTTAAGGATTTGCTGATTGAGCTTTGTCACTGATGATAATTTCATCAATCATCTCATTAATTAAAAGATAAAGTAATCGCCATATGATTTAACATGTAGCTTTATAAATTGATAATTAGTTAATTTTCTATACCATTATAATAATAGAAGCAATCGATTAATCAAATCAAGTAAATGAATTGACACAAATCAATTTCAATTCATTTACAATCGCATTTTGAGTTAATGAATAAAGATCGAAAAGTTCAAATAACTGTTCTTAATTTAATATATAAATTTTATGAATTTGAAATGAACTGATTTTACTATTACAATGGAGTTTAATTGATTCAGAAAAATGATCAAGCAAAGTTGAATGTTAACATGTTCTGATAATGATTTTTATCAATGATATTTTAAGTATTGAGCTTTTTTCTTAATTGTATAAAAGTGATTAAGGTTAATAGAATTGATTTGTACTCATCTTGGAGTGAATGTTACATGTAATGGATCCGTTGGTTTGAATACAAAGACTAATTTGTAACTGATGTCATCCCAATATCGATGAGATTTTATTTTGAATGATTTTATTATCGATCCAACGATGAATTTTATATAAAATGGAGCCAATCGTTGACCGATACAATCTCTTGGTCTGATTCCAAATGGGATATAAGCACCATTGGGAATTTTAGGTGTAGCATCAGGAGCGAATCGTTGAGGTTTATATTGAAAGGGTTGAGGGAAAATCTTTGAATCTCTTAGGATGCTGATTAAACTAACGAGAATCAATGATCCTTTAGGAATAACTTTACCATCGTTCATGATTTGATCGCGTTCAGCTTTACGAATCTTAACTGGAACTGAAGTGTAGAGTCGAGTAGCTTCCTTGAAACACTGATCTAAAAATTGGAAACTATTGACATCGGCCAGTGTCCAATCTTTTACATCGATATCCTTAACCTCTTGATAGATCATTTCTTGATATTCGGGATAACAGCCGATGATATAAATGAACCAAGTCATAAGACTATCAGGTCCATCCGAACCAGCGACTAGAACAGCTTTGATCTCTTCCAAAATGGCCGATTCAATTTCCTCAGTTAATCCAGTCTCAGGCTTAACCCAAGTTCTCATTAGAAATTCACTAAGACTATTTGATCTTTTACTCTCTTCTGAACTATCGATGAGGTCACTCGAATTGTTATTAGTGTTATTGTTGTTAATTAATCGAGGATTGTCATAATCTACAGCATCTGATTTCGACTGAACTTGAAGATCTCCTTTGATTTGATTATACTTTTTTCTTATCGCAGAGACTAGTATCTTGTTAGTTTTATCAATCATTCTTCGAGTTCCAGTCCATTTTATATAAATTTCGTATAAAAAATCAGTATAAAAAAAAGGAAAAATCACTCGAATTTCTGATTGATGAAGAAACTTATCCATTGCCTTTATCAAGAATTCATAATCTTTATCAGCAAGTTCAACTCCTGAAGCTTTACCTAAGATCATTTTCATCGTTGTTATTGAGAAAAAGCCTCGAATATCCAAAGGTTTACCTGTTTTCTTCTCATCTACGATTGATTGTTGAATCGATTTGTTTACTGACTCAGATAGCGATCTAATGTTACTTGTATAATGAGGAATCGAAAGAGGAGAAAACTGTTGACGAACTAAACGACGACGAGATTTCCATTTTCGTCTTTGGAAGAGATTATTCCTTGACCAAAGAAAATTTCACTCATTGTAAAAAGATGACTTTTGTCCAGTGTCGCAGGCTCACCGACAGTTTCCTGAAAATTCATGTTGAAAGTTTACAAAAATAAGATCATTTTGAATAATACGAGAATGAAATTTGTATACTCACTTGAGCTTTATCGTAGCGGCCAACCATAATGAACGGAATGCACGAGAACCAAACGACACAATATCCGTTTTCTTGGAAATAGTGTTCATGATCTTCAACTATTTTCCTTAAAACATTAGCTATAAACGCAGATGAATATTCAAATATTCACGATTGGACACAATTGTAAATAAGAAAACAATTTAGCTACTATTTGAAGTTCGATCTGAACATAGAAATACTAATACTTACAATCTCCACGAGCAATGTAGAGGAAAACTTCATAAACTTTACTCAGCGGTCGATATGTTGGTAATAGAGACAACCGATATAAGTAAATAGAGTAGTTGATTAAGTTAAATATCAAATAAGTTGTAACAATTGACCAAAATATACTTAATGGTGTAAATTTAAAACTGGACACTAACGATAACAAATCCATGGTTAATATAACAAATGAATAACAAGATGATAATAATGAATTTCACTTGACTCACTAAAATTAACTTCTTTAATCCAATCTAATCAATGAAAAAAGTTGAAATGATTCTGATCACTTTGGTGTCTCGATTATAACTCTATGAGTTTATCTTGTTTAACTTGATTCACCATGAAAACATTAGTTTGATCGTTTAAATTTTCCTAAAATCCAATCAAAGAGTGAGCCCTTAGTTAGAGACCTCGAATTGGAGAGAGAGGGAGATGAAGAAAACTCTTAATTAACAATCATTATTGACGAGGAATAAACTTGTTTTTTTCTTTGGATAAACAATTACGCAAACTGATTTAATGATTAAGCTACGTCACTGGCTAATGATAAATTTCCTTAATCATTTCAGTAATCAAAAGGTAATTTAACCGGGCTATGATTTAACGTGCAGTTTCAACCATTGGACCCGAAAGAATGACAAAATAATCTGTTGTCAATAATTAGTTAATTTGGTATTAATACATGCAATTGGTTAATTATCCTTTAAGGTTATGTTTGTATAATTGAAATCATATTATCACTCGAAGTGATAATAACAGAATTGAAATTATCCATAGTCCATCATTGGAAAACTTCAAAAAATCTTATGACAACTTTGTTTTATCATCAGAGCCATGGACCACTGGTCAGCTTGTGGTAATCAATTAATTTTATTGAGATCAGATAGTTTCACTAATTGTCCTTTATTTACCAATATTGTACATTTTAATTGGGACTTTAACATGATTTGAATAACCAATGATCGGATTCAGATAATTGAGAAAGTTAATGTTAAATATTAACATATAAACTCTTATGAAATTGATTCGATTTAAATTGATTATTAGGATGATCACCAATATTCTCTGCAATCAGTAGTTGGAGTTTGATTGAATAATGATAATTGAATTGATTAACATACCAAAACTTTATTATTAATAAAAATTAATAATAAAATCTCATCTTGGTGTAAATGTTACATGTAATGGATCCGTTGGTTTGAATACAAAGACTAATTTGTAACTGATGTCATCCCAATATCGATGAGATTTTATTTTGAATGATTTTATTATTGATCAACGATGAATTTTATATAAAATGGAGCCAATCGTTGACCGATACAATCTCTTGGTCTGATTCCGATGGGATATAAGCACCATTGGAATTTTAGGTGTAACATCAGGAGCGAATCGTTGAGGTTTATATTGAAAGGGTTGAGGAAAATCTTTGAATCTCAAGATGATTAAACTAACGAGAATCAATGATCCTTTGGGAATAACTTTACCATCGTTCATGATTTGATCGCGTTCAGCTTTACGAATCTTAACTGGAACTGAAGTGTAGAGTCGTAGCTTCCTTGAAACACTGATCTAAGAATTGAAACTATTGACATCGGTGTCAATCTTTTACATCGATATCTTTAACCTCTTGGTAGATCATTTCTTGATATTCGGGATAACAGCCGATGATATAAATGAACCAAGTCATAAGACTATCAGGTCCATCAGAACCAGCAACTAGAACTGCTTTGATCTCTTCCAAAATGGCCGATTCAATTTCCTCAGTTAATCCAGTCTCAGGCTTAACCCAAGTTCTCATTAGAAATTCACTAAGACTATTTGATCTTTTTCCTTCATCAGAACCATCAATGAGGTCACTCGAATTGTTATTTCGTTCATTCAACATTTGATAAGCATCACGATCTTCAACGAGTAATTCTCTTCTGATCTGATTATATTTTTTGCGAATCCCTGAAACTAATAACTCGTTAGTTTCATCAATCATTCTCCGAGTTCCAGTCCATTTAATATAAATTTCATAGAAAAAATCAGTGTAAAATGGAGGAAACATTGTCCGAATTTCTGATTGATGAAGAAACTTATCCATTGCCTTTATCAAGAATTCATAATCTCTGTCAGCAAGTTCAACTCCTGAAGCTTTACCCAAGATCATTTTCATGGTAGCGATTGAGAAAAAGCCTCGAATATCTAAAGGTTTACCTGTTTTCTTCTCTTCTACGATTGATTGTTGAATCGATTTGTTTACTGACTCTGATAGCGATCTAATGTTACTTGTATAATGAGGAATCGAAAGAGGAGAAAACTGTTGACGAACTAAATGACGACGAGATTTCCATTTTTCGTCTTTAGAAGAGATTATTCCTTGACCAAAGAAAATTTCACTCATTGTAAAAAGATGACTCTTGTCCAGTGTCGCAGGCTCACCTACAGTTTCCTGAAAAGCAGTGGTTAAAGCCCACAGAAATCACGTACAGGGTTCACAATAAGTTCATTCCGAATTATTAAAACATGTACATATCAAATGGAAATTCGTTTACTCACTTGAGCTCTATCGTATCGACCAACCATAATAAACGGGATACACAGGAACCAAATGACACAATATCCATTTTCTTGGAAATAGTGTTCATGATCTTCTATTGCTTTCCTTAAAATATTAGCTATAAACGTAGATAAATATCACAATATCCGCCATTGGACACAAGTGGACATTAAGCAAAGAAGAAAACAATTTAGCTAGAGTTCGAAGGTTGACCTGAACATCGAAATACTTACAATCTCCACGAGCAATGCTGAGTAAAACTTCATAAACTTTACTCATCGGTCGATATGTTGGTAATCGAGACAATCGATATAAGTAAATAAAGTGGTTGATTAAGTTAAAGACCAAATAAGTTGTAACAATTGACCAAAATATACTTAATGGCGTAAATTTAAAACTGGACACTAACGATAATAAATCCATGGTCAGTATAATAAATGAATATGAAGACTAGAAAACTTATCCACTGATTCACCAAAAATACTTAAGTTACTGTCACATCCAATCCGATCGCTGTGAGAACTTGAAATGATCACAAATTCAAATGATCTGAATTCTGAACGTCCAACAATTTGTATCTTGATCAGCTTGATCTATGATAAACTCGCTGATTTAGTGCGATTTCCACGAAGCTCAATCAGATGTTAAGATTAGCAGAAACTTAATTAACTATCAACAATCTAGAGGAATCAATGATTTCACTCTAAATTGCTCAATATTTGCTTCATATCATTTCAGTAATCATCATATGATTTCAATGCTGATTCTTATCGTTCAGTTTCAGAATTAGAATCACCAAGAGCTTCATTGACCCTGTAATTGTTTATCAAAAATATGATAATTAGTATAATATTTTTACTATTAAAGTTACTAATACACTTGTCGATTAATCAAATAAAAAAATCAACAGAAAAAGTACACAGTGTACTTCTTATCAGAATCAAATAATATTTACGATAATGAGAGTTAGTAAAATTCATGATAGTTAATGAATTATTTTGTTGAATTCACAGCAAGTTAATAAGATAACTCTGAAAGTGATTCTGTAAAGTAAAATGTTATCAATTTAATGTTGTTTTCTAACAATTTGTAAATTGTTCAAAATTGATTTGATTCAATCGAATTGATTTTTACCCATAAAACCAAAACTATTATCACAAAAATCTACATTAATTGTTACATTGAACTGGTCAATAGTCCAACTATTATTAGTTTGACTCTAATCATTGTGGTAATTAACTTCGTATTGATATAAATCATTATGATTTATTCAATACTATTATTCACTTTTATCCATAATGGATTCAGTATCTCCCTGGAGAAGAGACTGAGAGAGAGAGAAAGGTTGAGTGAGCTAGTGAGCGTTAATTTGTGTATTAACCAACTGAAAACTAATTATAATCCAATAACTTTCACTATTCAGGTTATTTCATCATCTCTTTTCCTGTGTGAATCTTTGTGATAATTTTATCCTCTTCATACAATCGGATTGACATCAAGACCAATATATATTTCTAATAAAGATATTATCACAATTATAGTTATAATAATAACTCAACAATCATCATCATCATCAACAACAATAATAATAATACAGTTAACCTATTATAAGGATCACTATGACAACTGTACGTGACATTGTGAACAATATAAATATTTTATTAACTGAACGTAATCATCTTGCTGTTGATGATCTCAAATTAATCCAACAATCAACTATTGGAACTTATTTCTATACCCAATTCAGATTAGTCCTTAATTTGATTGGATTACCACGAGTTAATCAACAACAACAACAACAACAAAATGATCATCAAATCGGATCCACTATTCATCATCATCGTCATGTAATGAAAATTACTAAATCAACAATTGGAAATGTAAGGAAACAATCAGCTGATTACTTGGAATATCTTGAAACATGTGAGATGTTGATTGATTTTTCTTGGGAAAAATTAAATATCGGACATTGGAAATCAGTGAAACTTGATTATCGTTACCTTTATGGTTATGTTTGTATAATTAAAACCCTATTACAACTCAGAATTATATTAAACTCACCTGATGCAAATGACCAAGAGGAAGAGGAAGAGGACGAAGATGATGATAATCTAAATCCGTATCAGTTTAATTTCAAATTAGATGATAAGCCAAAAGTTGAATCTAATTGTTTACCAAAGGGACTCAATGAGATTATATTAGAATCGTTAATCCAAACTTGTGATATGGCTTGTATCATGTGTCCACCAATTATGGATGGACTGGCCTCGGACATTGCTTGTTTACTTCATTCAATCCTTAGTGTCCACTATTCAACCAAGTGGAAAACATTGTCCACTATCATGAAAGGAAGGGAAAAGATTTTACCTTACCAATCAATTGATCCTGTTAACAGAATTGAAATTATCCATTGTCCATCATTGGAAATTTTCAAACAATCTTATGCCAACAAAAGTAAACCCTGTATTATTACCGGAGCCATGGATGACTGGTCAGCTTGTGATAATCAATCAGATAACCATTGGTCACTAGACTATTTATTATCCAATATGGGAGCTCGTACAGTTCCGGTTGAAATTGGTAATAAATATACTGACTTTGAATGGTCACAAAAATTGATGACAGTTGAATGTTTCATTGATAAACACTGGACTGATGGTCCATCTAAAGGATATATTGCTCAGCAAGAATTATTTCAACAATTTAAACAATTATCTTATGATTTTACTATACCCGATTATTGTGGAATCAAGTCTGACCAATGTAAAGATGACCATCAACAAACCAAGAGTGACACTAATGAAAAAGACAAAGACAAAGACAAAGATTCAAATGACAATGAAAGTGATGATCAATATGATCGTAACAATATCGTTGTGAACGGTTGGTTTGGCCCATGGGGAACTGTATCTCCACTTCATCATGATCCTTACGATAATCTATTAGCTCAGGTTATGGGTGGAAAATATATTCGCTTATATTCAAATAGTATTAATCCTAATCTACTTTATCCACATTCAGATTATCTGCTTTCCAATACAAGTCAAGTTGATATTGAATCAATTGATCCGATCAGGTTTCCAATGTTCAACTCATTGCCCTACCTTGAATGTTACCTTGACAAAGGTCAAATGCTTTTCATTCCTAAAGGTTATTGGCATTTTGTAAAGTCAATGTCAATCAGTTTTTCAATTAACTTTTGGTGGACATAATTATAATCTTGATATTAATCAAGCCAACCCAATTAATTTGAAGCACTTGTCAATATATAAATGATAATTTGTTGTTAAAACAGTTTTAAAGCCAAAGAAAATGATTTGTTTGATTTTGTTAACAAAATTTGCTTCCAATTTGATTGATTTGAATGTGTATCAAAATGAAAGATTAAATAAAAATAACATCTCATTAATTAATCTCAATTAAAATCAATCGTATTATCAGTTAATGATTAGATTTAACTATTATAATGATTAACTATCATCTCGCTGACAATTATTGTGATTGTTTCAAGAGTTTGCAAAATTTTCTCTTGCCTTTGATATCAATACATTTGTAATGGTTTTCCAATTGTTTCATTTAATTGTATTGATTTTAATTTCTCTCTCTCCTTTAATTAACAGGTATTAGTTGAATACGATGGTGTTGATTGGCGGAAACGGGAATGGATCAAAGTTTATGATCAACAATTTACCGTTTTCCTAATTGAATACAGTATTGTTTGGTCAACCCGGAAGGAAACTGTTGTTGGTCAAAATAATCATTGGCTTGCCTTGGTAAGAATCAGCTAATTGTCTTAATTAACCACCTAATCCCTTGATAATTACTACGTGACCAGTTAATTATCATTGGTCATTCGCATTTGTGTATAATTATACTAATATTGATACAGAAAATAATGATAATAATAATAATGAATACATTTACTAGTTGAAAAGGATTAACGATAATTACGGTTTTGGATTAACCTTGATCTTGAATTAAATGATAATTAATAGTTACCATTAAAGTGTTTAATTGTGCCACATTTAAATTGACAACAGTTAACCTTGAATTGAATCCATTAATCCTTAATCATTGATGTTAGTTGAATCAACTATCAAATGTTGATGGTTGTCAACAATTTGATTAATTGCTTTTCTCCCTCTCTATCATTTTTCAAATGAGAGTAAATGTTACAATTAACTTGATTAACTCATCTCCGGAATAGATTTGTTTATATTACTATTAATATCATTATTATCAATAACTATTCATCTAAATTTAGTAACAATTTAAGTTGATTAAGTTAATTTAATTCACTTTTGCTTCATTTTCAGAACTTTAAACTTCTCGTTGACAAAATTGGCCTTAGGGAATCACAATTAAAACCAATCGAGTATCTTGATGATAGACAATTAGATTTCGTTAATTACAATGATCTTAAATTATATGAGGTAAGTTAATCAATTCTCTATTAATTAGACATGGATAATCAACTACTGATTAAAATTCAATTGCTGGTGTTTGTTTTCAATTAATTAATATTGTTAATCATCTTAAACTAATCATTACCTTTTCCTCCTACTTATTGATTGTTGTTGATTATATTTTACATTAATATTTAATTACTTTCTTAATAATATAATTAAGTTTTTTTTTTCTATTAGGCTTAATTGTAATTATGCTTAATTTTATCTTCTACTTTCTTTAAATAACTAATTATGATCAGTTAATTATCTGAATATATTTCTGTTGATATTCAATTGAGTAATTTTTACCCAAAATGAATCAACCATTTAGCTAAAAAGTTAATTCATCTTAACTGTTAACAATCAGCTAATTATTTACAATTAAAGTTAAACAATTGATTGATTTTCAGGTAACACAATTAAGTTATCGGTTTTGTTGTTGTGTGAATGTTAATCTTAATTGTTGTTGTTTGTTTCCATTCATTCAAATCATATAAACGTAACAATTAAACTTTCCCTCAATTTAAATGATTTACTTTCAATTTCTGGTTAAACGAAAAGCTTTCCAATTGTTAACTATTAATAGATTAATTGAGATGAAAAATAAGCAATTAAGATAATGATGATGATGATTAAGAAAGAGAAAAAGTTTTCCATTGTGAACAATTTAAATTGTAAATTCAATCTCAATCTGATTACTTTGATATATTTTTTTCTGTCATCAATTTATTGATTAATTTGATGCTCATGTGCTCAGAGTAAATTGTCACCATTGATTACAATTGAAATTGAAGTTGAATCAATTCTGATTATCATGAGAAAACATAATAATCACCCTGAGAACTTACAATTAATAAATTGTTTATCATCGTATTCAATCATTCAACAGTAATTAAGAGATTAAGTTAATCAAAATTTGAGGAAAAAAAATTTTTCCTCTTAATTATAAGTGTCATTGTCTTTTCTTAATTAAAACTCACTCTCTCTCTCTCTCTCTAACAATTAATCCAATTTTAATTAAATAGTTTTAATTGTTTACTTGAAATCTATCATTTCCTTGTTTTCATTATCATCATTCTTGATTACAATTAATAGAATCCAAATGATTAGGATAAGTTAATCATAACCACAATTAACCCATTAACAATTAGTTAGATAATAATAAATTGTTGTAAAAATCATTAATCATTGAGTTTGTTGGTGTAATTGTGATTAAATTTAATCTAATTGAACTTGAACAATATTGTAACCAATTAATTTTTCTGGTTCCTGGTAACAATTTAAACCCAATTAAAGTTACACCCAAATCTTAACGGTTAACAATTTAATCATATTGTTTCATTTATATATATATTTATATTAATATGATTATTTTAATCATAACAATCAGAATCATTATGAATTTAGTTTAATTTTTCATGTGGGTTTGAAATATATGATTCAATTATGATTTAAATTAACTGAGAAACTGATTAACCTTAATTGTGTTTTGCTATTGAACGTTGCTCTTAACAAACATATTAATAATGAACACAATTAACTTTACCTCAACAACAATCAATGTTGAACAAATGAAAAAAAAATTGAAAATAATTAATCATAAAACTTAAATAAGATAAAATCATTACCATTGATTATTGAACAATTTATCTCATCTACTCAATTGATTAAGTAATCAAATTAATCGATAGTTATTGATTTTAGTTAATTTTGCTGCTCGAAAACCAAAATATTACCTCTAATCATCAGATTAATAATCATCATCATCATTATCATGATTATCTGATAGTTTCTAATGAGATGTTATATGTTACCTGGTAAAAGTTAATTGAACAACAATCAAGTAATATTTTTTTCTGAATCATTATTTTCTCCATGAATTCTTAGCAATTCTGGATAATAGGCAATGATGATGATGAAGAAGATGATAGGAATTATCATGTAAGATAAATTCTGTCGAAAAACAGAAATTTTCTTTTATCTTCTTCCATTCAAAGGAAAAATATAAATTGAATTACATGATAGATTCAGATACATATTCCAGAACTTTTTCATTCTTCCTCTCTCTCTCTCTCTCTCTCTCTATCATCATCATGAGTATTATTACTATGCCAATATCTTGATTTTTACTCCTCATGATGATGATTTGAATTTGCATCAAGATTTAACATAGAATCAAAATGAGAATGATGATAATGATGAAAGAGGATGAAACTATCATCCAATTGTAATATTGAGTATATGGAGTAAGTGATAATATTTCAAACTTTTCCATGAACACTTTTCAGAAATTGAAGATTCCCATGAATCAGAATAGGATTGATTTTTCTCCTTCTTCTCATGATGATGATGAGAAAAGATGAGTATGATGATGGATTGATTTTTTCTTCATCTAAAGATGACGATTAACATGATGATACCTTTAAGTTGAGTTTAATTTACCTTGAAAACTTGAGGAGGAAAATTGAGATTCAATATTATCATCAACTCGTTGATTCTCGTATAAAATATAACAAAACTGATTAAATTGCTCACTCATTAAATTCCCATTGATGATGACAAGGATGAGAAAGTGAAATAGACAGAGATGATAAATTTTGATGGATCAGTTGAAATCCGCATCCTTTTTTTTCATAGCTATTGTATTATTATCAGATTATCATGATTATATTGAAACTGAATTATTTTATTATCATGTTAATATTGAGATTAGTTGATTATTGAATTAAAATTAAAATTTCTCTCACTGTTTTCATTGTAATCAATCAGTGAATAAATTAATTAAATCAATGAATGTACATACATTAATCTTCAAGATGATCATCAACTGAATCAATTTTGATCATCATCTTGATGATTTATTGATTATCATCTATTGATTTGGGTTCTCACTTGATAAATCAATAGTATTGTTGTTTCATCATTTAAATAAATCATTTTAATAACTTGTAAATTATGTAATTTCATCATAACCAACATTTAATCAGCTGAAAATTTTGATAAATTATCATCTTGATGAAGATTAACCCGATTAACAGCAAATGATAAAACAAGATGGCGCTGTGAGGCTTAAAAGTGATAATGGTTAATATTATATAAAAGAAAGCTAAAAAATAAAAGGATTCTCAGTTTTTTCTCTAGATAATTGACATTCTCATCCTCCTCCTCATCATCATCCTTGCTCCCTTTTGTTATCATTCTTCTTCTTCCTCCTCTTTCAACTCTCTTTCTTTTGTTACACTTTGATGCGAAATAATTTGAATGACTTTTTCATGGGTGAATGGATGATGAACATTTTTTTCATCATCATCTTTCTAACCCTAATCAACATTTTCTGTCTACCTTACTGTCTTTTTCTCTCTCCATTTTTCATCCTTCTGTTTTCCTCATCATCATTATCATCACTCTCTCTCTCCACCTCCTCCCATTTTTGCTTCGCATCTATTTCGCCTCCATTATGCATCATCATCTTAACGACTCACTCTCTCTCTCTCTCTCACTCCCAGACAATGAACTTGCTCACCATTGATTGTAAACAACAATTTTGTTTTTACCATTGAAAAAATAGTCTGGTTACAAATGAGTTTTTCTTAATTCATCTGTGAATCTCTCTCTCTCTCTCTCTCTCTCTCTCTCTCTCTCTCTCTCTCTGCTCACGATGTGTACTCTCTCATGTTTACTATCATAATGATGATACAGTGTAATTATCTTCCTCTTACTCACCCTTTTCTTAATATTTATCATCTTTCTCACTCTTCCTGATTCACCTATTTTCATAATAACAAATTATTTCCAAGGTCAGATTATATTACATTAAACAATCAAATCTTTTATCATGATTTTCATAATTTCAACTCATTTAATAACATTGTATTTGTATACACATTAAATTCATGATAATCATCAAGATGATGATTAAACTTTTTCTTCAATGTTTTATTATTTCCAAGAAGAAAAACAAAACGAAAATTCAATTTCATCATGATAATAATAGAGAAAAAAAAAATTCATCTTATTACAATTAACTTACTCAACGTTGATTCATGAATTCAATTGTTATTTTCTTGTAAGCTAATTACTGTTTGTTGTTATCATGATGATGATGGTGTTGATTATTATTATCGAGCAATGACTTTAATGATTAATTAAAAATTACATAATAATCATTTGAACTGTAATTAACTCATCTTGATTTTCACGTTGATTAAAAATCAATATTCAATCAATTAAAATGGTGACGATTTGATTAACCAACAAAATCTACAAAAATATTTTAATCTAAACACAATCTAAATTGTCAACCTTAATCATTAACCATGTTAACCTTGAATTACCATTGAATTAAGATGATGACATATATATTTATGATTAAATTGTTAAATGACAATTAATAGATGAGATTGGCAAAGAAAACAGGAAGTTAATTGTGAAATGTTGAAATGATTAACAAATAAACAAAAAAGATGAAAATTTGAAACAATTAACGACAAAATTAACAATCATGTCAAACATTGAGTTAAATTGTAATGATTAAATAATAATAACAATAAACACCAACGCTAATTGCAGGTTTTCATTGTTACAATTTAAGTATGTGAATAGAATAGTTAATTAGCTGTTGATTGTGAATATAAATTAATTTCTATCACAATTAGTAAATATATTATACGGAACAAAAAATGTAACCTTAATTATAAAATGAATTCTGATCAATCAGCTGAAGATAATCAATGTTTACTATTTTTAAAGAGAGAGAGAGTCAATCAGTGTGTTTGCTTCAATTACAATTTAAATTATTAATAGTAACTCGAAATAATCAACAATTAACATGAGATGAATAACCTTTTTCATGGCTTGATGCCAATGTAAATAATATCATATTTTCACATGGAGATGATGATGAGACGAATGTAAATTAATAATGATTATATCAACTCTTTTTTTTCATCATCATATGATTCTTGTTTTTCTGGTTAGTGAATGAT